CTGTTCAAGAAGTGTCTGTGTATCTACCTACCACAAACCATTTGGAAATCAAACATTCTTTGTCTGCAAGTAATTGCACTGAAATATCAGTTGAGAATTAGAATATAACTTTTTTTTTTTTTTTGAGAGGAAGGCACCACATAAGATAAAGCAAGTTTCAAAACTATAATTCTTTAGAAATAAGCATACTTCTAACTCACCGGTGTCTTAGCTTCAGCCATGCTGTGTTTGAAACTATAAAACTGTTTCTGTATATGAAGACCTGCGAGCTGCAGATTCAGACTGAAGGAAGGAAGACTGTTTGCCAGGATAGGTGAGAAGTAGTGATCAATAACGTAGGAAATAAAAATTGAAACATTGTAAAACATCACCTGGCATTTCGTAGTTGTGTTAGAGAAAAATGTTTTTCTATAGAAATCTTTATTAAAGTGAAAACGTGTCAGAAAAGGGTTGTATGTTTTAGCAATATCTCTCTGCATATAGTATAGATCCAGAGCAGACCCTTACAAGTTTCACTTACAAGCCTCGCGATTTCCAGAGAGTGTAAAAAATATAACAAAAAAGATGAATTCCCAGGATACTAAAATCAGTGGGGATGAGAAATATTTTGTCTGATATTCAGATGTGTATAAATATCGCAGTGTAAGCAATGACTAATATAATGTACTCTGAGAAATGTTTCAGACTTAGTGAATGACTAAAGTTTTCCCTATTCGGTTACTTCCTAGAAAAACACCCCAAATCTGGAATCTGACAGCCAAACTCCATTTTAGAAATATTACTCTCCCCAAGTAGTGGCATGGGCTTCTGTGGGAGTTTTGGTAGAAGGGCAAGATACGACAGAGCAAGGCAATTCGGGATCCAAGCAATAATTGCTGGTTGTTAAGAAACTTAGTTGGCAATTTATCTACCACATACAAAACTGTGATGGAGAGAAAATGTAGCCTTGAGATTTAGCATTTTCAATGTTTTCTTAGATTCACAGACAGCAGGAGACGTTCTTTTTTATTTTTTGTTCAGAAAGTATTTGTTTATGAAATGGCAAAATAATGTGAATACACAGTTGCCAGGAGGAGAAAGATATGGGTAATGTATCTCTTCTGTCTTGGCTTGGTTCAGGGACATCTGTGACTTCATAGACAGATCAGCCTTCAAAAAAAATCTCCTGCAATAGCTTTGCAGCACCCTCTTATCATGTTCCTTGATAACAGCATATGTGTGAAAATCAGTCTGCTTTTTTTTTTTGTTATAAAGATGAAAAGTTATTTAGAAAATATGAAAATATCACTGTAAATTTCAGTACTTAAATACTACCCAATAACTCTGCTTCTACGCACATATATTTCCATATATGCATAGTCTGAAGCCTGTGCCTAATTATATTAAACTCAATGGTATGCTTATGGGATCAACGCCTCTTTACATCTGGGAATTCAGAATATTCTGGTAATAATTTGATAATTTTTCCCTCTTAAGCTGTATGCAATTTTTTTACATGCTCCTGAGTTGTGTAGAAAAAAATTGAAGTGATCCACAACTTCTGAGCCTTGGAACACTTCAGGGAGTCCCCCTCTATTTACTGCAGAAACAGCTGTCATTCAGCTGTGAGATTTGGAGCTGTTGAAACTGTGGAGGAAAGGAAAAGTATTTGTTCTTAGTATATTAAAAAAAAAAAAAAAAAAGACACTTTAGATCGAAATTCCTAAGTGAGTTTCTTGATTCCTGATGTCCTGAGAGAGTTATTTTCAAATTAATTGTAATATGCAAACATATTGCTTGTACATGTTAGTGATTTATGGTAATTGGAATACTGATGGGAAAAAATTCTTTTAGACTATTTAATGAGCACCTGTGAAATTATGGAATGCATGCACGAACATCCCGAGTATTTGCCCGAGAGATTTTCTTCCCACAGCTGTGAGATTTGGGCATCATTATGTAGGTACAAATTGAGAGCCTCTTTCAGAAGGCAAGCAGGTACTTGGTACAAGTTCATGGGACAACTGATGTAAATAATTGCTCAACAGTGTAAATAAAGAGCTTACAATCTGGCTGTATTTTATTATTTATTAGTACTTATTATAATTTATTGGTTTTGTTTCAAACGGTGAAGTTAAAAGTTAAAATGAGTTTCTTCTTAGAATAAGGAAGAAATGCAGCACCATATGTTGTGCCAATGGAGCTCTGTCTGATACAGTGCTAATACATTCCTTCCAAGGCCTCAAGACATTTTACAACATTTTTAGCACCAATTTCTGCAGTAATGACTAACTTCTGCAGGACAGAAAATTACATTCCTTGGGAGGATATGAAATGATCAGGAAAGGAAAGAGCTGACATTATCCAAGAAGCTATTGAGTTAGCAGGATTTTAATGCCAGAACAATTCATAAGCGATGAGAAATAAATCAACTGGAACAATATGTAATAAGCAGAATATATAATATTCTATGGTTTTTTTATATATATAATAACATTCTTATGGTCTTTCTGTAATATTGAAAATGTAAACACAACCTGTCATCAGATCCAGCGTGCTAGTTCTGTCAAAACATGGATTTTTCTCCTGTATGTTTTTTGGCTGATGTCATTGGAAACATTGATAAGTGCTTCTGGTTTTGGTGGGAGGAGTTAAGAGCCTAGTGTATAAAAGAAAAGACTAAACCAAAGCTTACTAAAATGCCTAAAACAAAGCTCCCTGTAATCTATCAGTTTCTTGACTTTGGCAGTCTTTTAATCAATGTTTTATTATGAGAACCTCTGTATATAAAGATGAATGGGTAAGCTGACGCTAGAATGGGGGTGGTGGTGTGTTTTTTTTTTTTTTCTTTTTAGCAACTGAGATTTAAAAAAAAAGACTAAAAAGTATTTGTGTAATTACTTTTGTGAAGTTTTTTTTCTTATACTTCAATTATCCTGTGTCTTTTACAGATGGGTAACTAAGACAAGAAGCAATTAAACCCACAATGAAACAGAAAGGGAATACAATTTCAGCTCTCTAATTTTATTTATGTATTCATTTTTTTGCATGTTCTGTATTTTCAATAGCATTGATTAACTGGACATATTTGTGTTTTCTTCGCTTGGTGGCCTTTCTCCAGAACAAGGATCTGAGAATCTCTAAGGCCAAGGTCTAACACACTCAATTCAAAAGGAGTCTTTCCAGCGTATTAAGTTGAAGCTCAATCAGGAAAGATCCTGATCATACTTCACTTCTGCTGATTTCCTGAGATGGTGTTGAGACTTTGTAGGCTTGGACCTTAAAATGGATGCAGGTTATGTTGCTTAGCAGTGTGACCATGGCTTCACAATTTGAGGGTAATAAATATTTTCCAGGAGAAAAAAACCCTTGTAAATAGCTCCATGTTTGCTTAAACAAAATTAGCATAAAGGTGAACGTCAGAACAAAAATTATTAAGGGAAAACATTTTGATTAAGCTTATTTAATACACTGGCATGCCTACAACATTAATATATTTTTTTATTCTTTTTCTATTTGTTCCAATAATGAAGGAATCATCTACATGCTGCAGGTCATATCTGTGTTCTTAAAGATGCTTTCATGTATGAAAGTCCAACTGAAATAGCAAACCTAACCTCCACAGAGAAGTTTGATGCAGCCCTGGCCATTCATCTTTACAAAGGAGGCAGACTCCTGCAAGGTAATCATCTTTCTATTTTGCAATAAAAATACCTCTTAAAAAGGTACTGAAAAAGAAAGAGAATGAATACAAATGGTTATAAATGGGTATATATGTATAAACCTGTACATAATGTAGTTATTCTGTTTATCCACTTTGACAAATGTTCAGAAATGCTGAATATATTTCTCTGTGGGAGATCTGATAAAGAGAGGAGAGAACTTTTGAATCACGTAGCGCATTTCATAATTAAGTACTTTAACTACATTAAGATAACATTATATTAACAATAAGATACTTTCAGCAAATGTATTCTTTCAGAGGACAATGGCTTAGCTAAGTATAGCTGAGGTCAAACAGAAGAAAGAAGAGAGGCTAATTTGATATTTCTGCTCAAAAATGAGTCAGGGTTTTTTGGACATGAAATAACTTTGAGATGTCGTTCATGCCAGCTAAACTGTAGGAGACAGGATGTTATCAGACAAATAATAAAATTTTCTATTGTATCTAACCATGTAGAACAAAATTTAGCCTGCCATTAATGATACACTAGAAGCACTGGCTTTCAATATTACAGACACTGTCACCTACTGAAATTGCAAGTGTATATCCATTTTTGAGATCACATTTGTATTGTACAAATCTATTCACTTGGACAAAGGTACATAATTTGATACTTTTATCAGATCCTCAGTATAAGTTGTGTTTTGCTGTGCTAGTTTTCAGACTTCAGGAGCCCCCCCCCGCAATTTGTGCTGGTGGGTTTTCAGAAAGCCTGAATTAGTATGTCTGGCGTGCTTGTGTATCTTTTGTTACAATGGAGCTCTGATTTCAGTAGGGATCCTAGAATAAAAATTAAAAAAAAAAAAATTCTGTAAGATGATCTCTGCTATTAAGACTTCTCTTGTTGCAATATAGAGATGATGGGTTGTGTGACAAAACTGGAATTGTTTTGGAGGAGGCTTATGAAGGGTCTTAAAACTTCCTTTTTTTTTGCTAAGGAACAAAAAATAAGGCTGGATTTTAAATGTTTACTGTAAAACTTTATTGCAGTTTTGACTTGCATAACATTGCCCAAATGCTGTTGCTAATTAGCTTTTCAAAATCCCAAGTGATCTACAAAGCCTGATACCTGAATGATTTACCAAAGTTCAGTAATTTAAATAAGTGGGTTACACTCTTCCAAAAAGCATCTGCAATAAGTGAAAGAAAGATAAAAAGAAATGTGTAAAAAGCAAGATAGTAAGTAGTATGACTGATGGGATGATCCTAGTCAAAGTGTAAAAGTTATTGCAGACTTCTTGAAGGAAAAAAGTGATTTGGGAGACATTCCTGACTCTTGTAACATTTAATATTTCCATACCCTATATTAAGAAATACCTTAAAGAAATTTAGTTATTGCAGTCATACCACCATTACTACCATACTACCAGTCTTTTGGGCCTCATCCTGGAAACTTTATTTTCATGATTGGGGATGCATGATCAACACATGTAATAGATGACACAAAAATTACGTACTTTTTTATTTATTAGAAAAGCGATACATATTTTATATCGTATTACAGAAAGTCGGTCTCTTGAAGGTTAGTGCTGTGGTGCTTTGATAGTGCACATTAATTCTCATCACCTACAGTGAACAGAGTATAATATCTAAAAATGCCAAGGAAAATCTTTTAAGTAGCCAGAATGGCAATTAGTCTTTCATTCTTTTTGTTCTTTCATTTAGTAATGAGGAAATTAGCAATGCTAATAAATCCTCATCTTACAGCTCGCTTAGTTTTCAAATATAAATTTGAAACATATAGTATGTTTTCTATCTGTATCGACATACTTATTTTGTTCCCCATTTGCTTGGTTTTAACCATGTATTTTAATGATGGGCGTTCACTGAATTTAACCTATCATTTCCCCCCCACCCTTAAGACACCGTGGGTAGCTATAGAAAGAGTCATCAATAGTGTTCACAGCCGTGAACATTCAAGGTCAGTTATATTATCGCTCAAAAGGAAGAACCTCCATCAACACAGTAACCTCTAGTGCCCTGCTCGTTGGTCCAATGCTGAGGACAGTGTTGTCTACTGAGTCCTTGATCCCTCTCCCCTTCCATCCGATAGCAAAAGGGAAAAAACAAAGCATATTTTGTGCTTTTCTTGATACACAGTGTGTAGTGGCAATACAGCCTAACTGCTTATTCTTGTTCACAGTCGGAAGGAAGCCTTGGCTTCATCTGTTACAGCTAACAGCAATCTGCAAAATCCACAAAATTGGCCACCTTAATGACAGGTTTTGTAGACGGGCTTACTGGAGACTCTTTCTTTTGCAACACTGCAGTCCCATTTGGATTTTAAAACTATGTTCTGCATGTAGTAATTAGCCACCATGAAGTTGTTATTTGTTAGTTTAATGTGGTGTAAAACTGACCACTTTATCAGTTTCAGTGCTGAAACAATCAACAGTAAACATTATTGTCTGCTATCTTGATTAGTTAAGGGGAGAACATTACTGGTAACTTGGCAGTTACTAAAAATAACCTGACTCCAAGAAAAGAAATACTAGTAGAAAGGGATCTTGCCCTACTATTGGCTTTTGTATTTTCATCTAAGTAGTCTTTGGCCTTGTCTGTGTAAGTCTAGCTGCTGTTAGCATAGAAGTGCTACACCACCCTGTTTTGGTGGCTTTACTGTTACACAAATACGGATTTATTCTGATGCTGTGTATCAAAACTAGGCTTTTACCAGAGTACAGACACCACTAGGATACATATGATTTTGTTGATACTCTTAAATTTGAATGCTGATAGGGTCTTGTGCACAGACTGTCCCACATGCCTTCCTCTATTCTTACTGTTCTGAGCACTGTAAGGCATCCTAAACCAACTTTCATAACTTGCATGATCACAGAAGGTCTTGGAACAACCAATTATAAACACAGATCCATCTTTTGGGATGGAATTAGGCAAAACAATGGGTTTGCTGCAGGTTCACATGTACTGCCTTATTTAATTTGGTGACCTTTTCCAATGGTATGGCTCCCATCTACATTTTTTGTAGCAGTGAAATCAGTTTCGGAAGTCAATAGTTAAAAAAAAATATAAAATTTCAGTAGCCAGCTTTGTAGGATGGTCACCCAAGCCACTGTATTGGAATGCTTGAGAGGGCAGAGAATGAGTGGCTGAGGCTAGATACCTGGGACCAAACTTTGCAATACTGCATCTTATTAAAATGTGAATAACATTTAAAATATACATGCTGTTTGGTGGGCTGCCAAGTGTAGAAACTAATTGATTGTTTTTACTAAGCATGGAAAAAAGACAAAGAAAATCTCATAGCTACGCAACAGACTGGCACTCTGTGAAAGTGCATGGTTATTGTATGGGCTTTTTCAGTGCCAAACCCATCAAAATTCAAGTTTCTCCAGGTTTCTTTTTCAAAGACTTTTGTTTGCGTATGTGATACAGTATTGTCAATATACTTTTTCACTCTTAATGTCCCCTCCTAGTCATTACCATGACATGTTGGTCAACCTCTCATCGTAGTCATTACTTTGCAGGTAGCAGAATTCCTTTTGGAATCATCTTTGGTGGGACAGATATAAATGAAGATATCAGATGTGAAGAGAAACATCGGGTAATGGGAGCAGTGCTAGGAGAAGCCAGGTAAAAGCATGTGTGGAAGGCTTGTGACAGGAAATTGCATTTTTGTAATGTCAGATCTTTTAGGAACTGTTCCATAAACGATTGGAATCACTGGGAGATACACAGGCCAGTGGACAAAAGATAGACTATGATCTCTGTGTATTATTTTATGATTCAGTGGTGAAAGTAGAACGGTTTCTTCATAAAAGATGGTCTGTATGCATTTTATATTTCCTCTGTTGCAATCGTTTCATTGTATTTGTTCATGTAAGAGTTGGCGGAGGTAGTGCTGAAACTTGGTCTCTTGTGCTGTGAATTTTCAAAAACACTCAAATCCCATTAAAAGCTAATGAAATCTGTGGTCTTGCTCACTAATCCCGTGCTTTGTCTGCTGAATCATAACTGTTTTCTAGAATAATAGAACTGTGTGTGTGATGAGGGTATAAAATTCTAAGGCAGGTAAAAGAAATTAGAGGAATAATAGCAAGAATATTTAACCTGGGATTTGGCAGCCCTTGATGGTTAATATAACTGTGGACTGTAGCAGCCTGACTGTGGTTTGACATGTTTGTAATGGATACAGTTTTATGCAATCAAGTTTTAATTTCTTACCAAAATTATTTTAGACTGCTTATATTTGCAGAGATTTAGGTAAAGAAATGCACATCTAATTATCTTCAAGAATATCCATACAGTTCTCATTTGTACAGAACTGTCCTGGCCATGAAATTACTGATATTTGGTATTTAAACAGTGAATCTTTAGTAGGGGAGGTGGCTAATGGTGAGTTAGTGCTCGAGGTATGATTATTTAAATAGCAAACCTTTGTTAGCGGTGGAGGTATGAATAGTCTCATTAAGTCTTGCTGTAGTAAGGTTATTAGCAACAAGGTTGGACCCCGTTTGACAAGGCCCTGTGCCAGAAGTGCTAAATATTGCTCCAAGTTGTTTTATTTAAAACCTCTGTTTCTTAGTAAATTCTGGTTTATGTTACATGAATTCAAACATATAAAATATTCTGTATTGGAACTAATTTATTTTATGCATTAAGTGCTATACTGCACATACAGAGCAAGGTGCCCAGCAGTTTGATTTAAGGGAGGCGACATCTAAAATAACTGGCATTTGTCCTGTTCATCACAGAATCAAACCGGTTCTCTGAGGCCTCGCCTTTAGTTTGTTGACAGAGTGCTTGCTTGAAAATGAGGTGACTCAAGTATAAAGAGCTTTTGTTCTTTTTTTTTTTCCTGCTAATGTGATCCTTTCTCTAGGTAGATGAACAAAGAAGCAGAGACTGAAAAAAGTCTTTAAGCAAATTCTCTCAATTTTTTAGGTGAATTGACAAGGGAGTATTTTCAGGGTGTTTTAAAGTCTGGAAAAGTTCTAGGCATCAAATCTAGTTCTGAACTGATCAGAAATCAGAGAAAATGGCTAAAAAGTAAAAAGGTTTTTGCAGCATTTCTCATTGTTTCAACATCCCCAGAAAAGAGGTTTCCTTCTGCTTGATCCGTAGGTCTGCTGACTTCTACAGTGTTTCATCACGTCCAAGGGTCAATATACCCTTTTCTTTTTGGAAACTAAAGCATTTTATGTATATATATATTCTAATCCATGAAATGAATTTAATATATAGGTTATCAAGATAGAGGCTAAGGTTGTCACTTCATGTTTAGCCTGCACAATAGCTCACTGATGGCAGGCATGGCTCTAGTGCTACCTCCCTTCCCCTCCTCCTCGTTTCTCTTACTTGGGGCTGTGTGATCCACCCTTCCTTGTGCCAGGATTGGACTGCTTTCTGAGCAGGTTTAACCCACTAAATGATGTAAAATAGGCTCTTTTTTTTCCTGGGTTAGTTTTCTACCCCTTTAATCAGACAGGTCAGCTATGAGAAGGATGTCTTTTTGGTAAAAATTTGGTGGTAAGTTGCTATAGCAGGTCAGTCAGCCTGGTGGAACTATACTGTGCCTGAGCTTTTGGTGACTTGAGTACTCTGAAGAGTCATCACTCCAGAATTGAGCTCTGCATAAGTGAAGGGTCCCCAAGTGTACAAGGTGAGATAAAATTTAACCATCTGGAACATCTTATCAAATCCATTGGCACTGCTTGCATACTTACTCTTGGAGAGCTTAAATGTCTTGCTGAACAGAGCTTGCTCAGGGTACTATCTTTGTTCATTCATCACAGCAGTCTAGCGAAGGCAGAGAACTACAGTGGTTCAGATACAGCAGTATGGATTTTGGTTCATGTTAGCCATGAGGAAAGGCATGCAGAATGTGCAGCAGGCTTATATCTCGTAGTTTTATCTCTGCTAATACCACTATATGTTCTAGCTATTATTAGCTAACTTAACGCTGGCATAGGTACGCTGTTCTGTCTAGAGTGCCCTATAAATTGTGGTAGGTAAACAGATTTTAAAGACAGCACTTAATCACGTTCATTGAAAAATCATTAGGGCATGTTCTTACATCTTAGCGTGACTTGTAGCTGAAAAGCAACCTAAGGCCCCATTCAAGACAAAATTTATATACTTGTTTACTTTTGTTATCAAATAATCAGAAGTTATTCTTCAAACAGGTCTGAAGGAAGAGGGGGGAAAAAAGGTATCTAATGTGTCAGTTAAATTTCAGCGCTGTGCAAAATGAAAATTATATAAAACCAGAATCTCTGAGTGTGTCCATTTGATCCAGTTCTGTGTTTAAAACATGATCTGTCACAAATATAGCTAATATAGCTTATGCAAAAACTGTGCTTTATTGAATGTTTTTTTAATGATAATTAAGTTAGGAACTTGAAGTATAGTTTATGATGTTTCAAAATATATTACTGCATCCTTACGCAGTTCATAATGTTTTCTCTGCTACAGGAAAAGTAATTCAGTTTTCTAGAAGTTATTCTGAATGGATCTCTTCTCCAGTATTATCACTAGTATTATTCATTGCATAGTTATTAAAAGAAACATTGATTTTCTTTTTTCTTTATTGATTGCAGGTTTCTAAGCAGAAAGTATAGTGAATTGTAGATTACTTGTCCAGTACAATATACCACCACATTCCATAAAACAAAGTATTGAACACTGTCTAGCTTTATAATGAGTGTTTCATTTCTAATCAAATACTTCTAAATGGTGGTTGTACTCCTCTAGGGTATTTTTTTCTATTGAACAGTATTTTGTAGACTTAGGAGCAACAGTTTTTCGTGCTTGTTAATGTGATGTATTGAAAGTATAATTGCAAAAACTGGAAACGGAGCATGTGCAACTTGACAAAATAAGCATTTGCAAAGGTTGTAATAACCTTAAAGCTGTCAAGTTGTATACGTGAAATTCATTGTAGTACCATAAAGCAGATACTACAAAACAAATGTGTGAGAATAAGGTTTGTTTCAACAAACAAAAATAGGAGTTATAATTCAGCATTTATGAGACTTCTAATGAATGTGATTTCTTGTCTTCAAATTATAACGTCTCCAATGGAAAAGCACTGTTCTGGTTGTGACTTAGCAATGTGCTTCATCTCCAACCATTGAGATGTCATAGGGTTGGCTGAGGACAGAAACATTACATTAATTCTATGAAAAACAAACACTGAAACTTAAGTGTAATATGTGATAACCTCTGTGTTATATGCAATATCTATAAAAACAATTTTTAAAAAAGGAATTTTGCTGAGCAGACACATTATGTCTCATACGAAGGAGGTGTTCAAATGTTTCTATTCCACAGGACCGATAGCCTTCAGAAATGGTCACATTTCTGGTTCAGCAATGGTCCCATTTGTGGTTCCAGTTAACACTAAAGTTCCATTTAAGAACAGTCAAAGCATGTGTTTATATTTCATCAAATTTAAAAGCTACATTAAAGCCCAGCATGTTCTTAATATCTCTTCCTGAACAGGGATTCTTTATTAACTCTGTCTCCATAAAAATATCTCATATGACTTGGTATTACACCAAGCTCCCAGTAAGAATAATGTGTTTATCTAGGATGTTTAGAAACCAGACTTCTGTGGCTGAAGTCTCTTGGTAATGAGACACCCAAAAATGAAAACTGTTCATATCGGTACTGCTTTTAAGTGGCCTCTGACACAGCTCTTCTGTTATGTGGAATGATAGTGTACTACATATATTTCTCAAAGGCATGTAAGTAGAAGTCCAGATGAGCTGTTATAAACAGCCATAAGGGAAAAAGTGGAAGTAAGCTTGGGAACAGAATTCTCTTCTCCCTCCCAGATGAAAACTCTGTAGCCATTAAGTTACTCAAGTACACTTTTGTTTGCTTGTTCTTACTTTGGCGTTATGATTTATATACATAACAGAGGAGGAGTAGATGGTGTTAATATACTATTCTACAGTTCATTCATTTAAATACTCTTCTCATAACAAGGAGAAGTCCTAACCAGAGAACAGTCAAAACGCCCTTCTGTCAGTATTATGTCTGGCTTGTGTAATAGTCTCTTTGCCTGAAACAATTACTATGGTAAATCTCATTTCTGGGCACCCAATTCTTACCCTATTTATTATAGAGGAATATCAGGTATCCAACTCAGCACTGAGAATTATATCTCCAGTGCAGGAGCTGAGTGTCCCACCTCTGTGAGATTCCACAGTTGAAGCCCAGCCACTGGATCATCTTTCTTCTTCTTTTAGTTTATTTAATTCTGATATTTTTCCTGAAGAATAACACTTTGTTCTCTCAGATGTTTGTTACTCATTGACAGCTTTGACTACTTAGAAATAAGGAGAGAACATTGGGGAAAGATTTAAAAAAATCCATCTGCTCATTTGAATTAAACTCCGTTGCAATGAGTTGCAAATAGTGGGACTGGGTATTGTCAAACAACAATAGTATGAAACTAACTGGACTTAGGATCCCTCCTTACCTCGCCTTCTGGTTGTGAAGAGGGCTGTTGCAACTTGCAATGATGTAGAAGCAAGAAATGCTAACTCACTGCTGGAGCTGTATATATTAATCAAGATAAATGGGGGGATGTTCCCATTATTTAGGTTTTCTCTTACTTTAAGAAACCCTCACTTTTAACTCCCCAAGAGCTCTAAGTTGTAAAGCCTGAAGAGAAACCATTTGTTTAACCAGTATTTTCTGGTAAAACAAATAGAAAGCCTGCTTTCTGTCTTGCCATCTATAATAATTTTTATAAGCTTCTGCTCTTTGATCTTACAAAGATGTTTTCTGAAGTACTTTTCTGTTTTTATGTTTATACACTTAAAGCAGCTGATCCCAACTATTTTTGTCCATTTAACTAGGTTTGCAGTGGCTTTCACGGTGAAAATGAAGGAACTGGCAGCAGCAGAGTGGGTATGTTTACATGATGATGGTGATGGTTATAGTATTAGGTACTATGCATTCTCCTAAAATGTTTTCTAAATAATGCTAGAGAATTGCAATAATCTTCATATCCTCTATTCCTGTTTTTCCTTTCAGAGAAGTATTTCATATTTACATACTTCAATAGGTCAAATAGATCTGGCATTTAAAAGCTGTTTAGTATTTGAAAAGAGTATACAGCAGTTTAGGAAGTGCTTCTCTGTAACATTTAAAACTAATCACTGCTGTTGTTATCGAGTCTCTCCTGATGCCATAGGCATATATTGTTTCTTTTTGCATCATTTAATAAACTTTTTTATGTTACCAAAATTCAACTAAACAGCTTTACTTACAAGGAAGAATTTGGAAGAATAATTTGAAAATACTTGTTTTGTCAACACTGGAAATAGAATGAGCTTCTTAAGGTGAACTGCAGAAGTAAAATTGAAGTTATGCTAAGCCCAGCAGGATGTGATATACAGCCCTATTGACCAGGCCGCAGGTGATATGTAGCACATAAATAGCACTTAACTTTCTTAAAACTCATCTCTCCTTCTGAAAATAAAACAAAACACACTGTGCTGAATGATATATGGAAAAATACTGAATAAAATTATTTTCATCCAACAGCATACTGGTTAAATAGACTTGGTGGTGTATTTGAAAGAGAACATTTAGCCGGCAAAGAAGTGGGAGTAATAATGTTTCGATCTATTTCTCTTCATTTAGTCGGTACCATTGCATCTGCTGTATTGCAGGTCTACTTCAGACATTCAGTGCAATTATTTTTGGTATCTGATGCTCCTGTTTGAAAACAGACTGGGTCAACATTTTCACCCTTACGTAGTTGAGTTGCTGGCAGGCTGCCAGTGGAGAAAATTGAGACAAATCCTTGAAGTAGACAGGGCTCAGTCCTTGTTTCTGAAGAACGGAGGAAGACCATAAAGAGCTACCAGTCATTTGAGTACAAGGAGTGCTTTTGGTAGTGTCAGGCTGCACTGGTGACCTGTGAAAAACTCCACACCAGGCAGCAGGGCTTGGTGATCTAGCTTGTTAGCCCGGGTGATTTTCTGTGCAAGGTTATCTTTCCAACTAACTTGTTGGCTAAAGACTTGTACTGGATCACGGAGAACTGCAATGAGCGTCAGATCCAGTGAAGAGCAAGCAGTAACTATTTGGCTGACAGGGCAACACACTGGCATAAAAGAGCAAGGTAGGACCATCTTCTGCCAGCTGCAGCCAGCTTTTAGCTCCACTCACCTCATCTTGTGAAACATCAGCTGAAGGATACATTCAAGAAGTAGAAACTGCTTGGTATCTGTTCAGTTCTAATTTGCATCATAATATAATCATTAATACACCCTTGCCTAAAGAAAATCACTTACAGTGGAGCTTGCACAACAGAACAATTTAATATTCAATGCTTTGTTTCAGCATGAATTGATTATCTATTTGCATTAAAAGGATACATGAGCAGGTCTGGTATTTATGTTAGAAATATAGCTTGGTTTTAGTAGTTACTACAATGAACTTCATGATGGGTAAACATGAAAAGGCACAGTTTCTGTCATAGATCTTATGCAAGAAAAAGAAAAAAGTAACAGAGTATAAGAAAGAGAAACAAACTTGAACTTTGGAATCCTTTTGAAATCAGCACCTCAAATGTTTTTAAGTACTAAACTTCGATTGATTTTACCTAAACACCTTTGTGCTCTGGGCCTATGAGACTCAATCGGTGTTTTGGAGAAGGTCTGTGGGCAGACAGGGAATTGGAGGCAAGTCTGTCAAGTCCTAAACTGAAATACCACCTGCTGACCTGTGTCTTAAATGCTGGGGTTTTGAGTTCTTTTTCTATCTGTATCTTCATATAAAGGGTGAGAGCAAATGCCACACATTTACTTTCAAACAGTGAAGAATATGAATATGTCTTTCCATATCTAGGTCACAGAATATTAACACTTTTTACATATTAACTCACAGTAATGTGTACTGCATTATTCCTCTAATGTGTGCTTTATTAGACAGTCAAGAATTTAAATTACCAACATGTAAGCTATTGCACTGTGCTCAAGGGCTCTATCTTTCAACAAATTTTTTTCTATTACATTGGATAAATTATCTTTAATTATGAAGTACATAACACAGCAGTTTCAATAATCTATATTCCAAGTGAGTTGGAAATACTGTAAAAGACCTTGTGCTTACGGTCAGTGTTTTATTTCAGTAGTGTAAAACTGGTGCATAAGAATTACCTAAGCCAGTTTTATTAGCATTCATTTTCATTTTTCCGTTCTCCTCAAGACCATTTAAAATAAAGAACATAACAGAAAATTGATCTATAAAGTGTGAATACATCTGTACGCCCTGTTACGCAGTATTCCTGCTATTTTCTTCTTGAAATCCTGCCCTGGCAGGATTATATTTACTCACCATAAGCCATTAAAGGTCCAGCAGAGCATGAAACCAGATGCTTAACTTAAGCTTATTTTTGAAACTTAGTGGGTTTAGGGAACTAAAAGCCTATCTTCACCACCAGAACTGTGCAGTACATCAGCTGTGGAGGCAAGGCTGGCTTAAGCTGCCCTCTGCCCCAGCTGCTTTTTTCCACCTTCTGGTTTGCTGCATCCATGTCCCAGCTCTGAATTTCAGTTATCCCACTTACCCTGCAATTTTAAATTCTGAAGTTGACCTCCAGTTTGCAGTGCTGTCTCGCATCATTTGCAAAGCTTTTTTTAGGATTGGAAGATCTAATACAATTTAAAATGCTACTTATTCATAGGTAAGAGAAGGACCAAGAGACATTAAGTAACAAAATAACCTATTAAACCATTTTTTTCTTATTCTTAAATGCTTTGAACACAGAAGTTCATATAGCTTTTGAAAGAGAAAGTCCATAGAATATCCTTAGTCTTCCACTGCAGCGGAGTGTTATTTTTCCCCCACTTCATTTCTGTGTGGATTTGCTGCTTGTCATGTAGTTTTTGTGACTTAGTTAATTCACTCTGATTCTCAGAAACCACCTCCTTCACATCTGTGAACCACTTCTTGATGACTATTCACTTTTTTTACGACCTCTTTTCTGTCCATTTCTTTTTCCAGTTCATTTTTAATAACTAAAATAGACTGTTATGACTGGGCAGTGGACTGGTGGGGCAGTCATGTAGGAGTGATGGGGAAAAGCAAAATGTTTGCAAATAAAAAAAAAAAAAATTCTTCCTTGGCTTTGTATTTCCTGAACTGACTGGTGCAGGAATTGGTTGCTTAACAGTATGTTTCTGCATTAATTCTTGTTCTCCTAATACAAGTTCTCCTCCTGCCTTCAAGTCATTATCCTGCAGGTGTGAAATCCTGCACCAAAAAGGAGGCAAGATTTAGTCTCAGGATAGGAAGGACTGATGCTCTAAAAGAAGGTGGTTCGTTTCTGGATGCTGTGATGCTAAATTAAGCAATAGCATTAGTGGGACTGCTTGAACAAATATAATTTCCAACTGAAACATTCAAGGTAATATTGAGCAAATCTATTGGAGTAATTCCCATTGAGTAATACCTTCCTTAGCTTACTCCTTTACAGGCATTGCAACCAGTGCTTTTAAAACAACTAGGAATTGTCCAAACAGAAAGCTTTGCACAAACACTTTGAGCTCAGAAAACTCTGCTTGTTTGCTGGGGAGTGTTGTTAGTGGTTTTTTTTTTTGTTTTGTGGGGGTTTTTTTTGTTGTGGTTTTTTTTTTTTTTAATGTGGAAAGATCCTAAGAATATTTTGATGTTTTAGTGGAAAGAAAAAAAAAAAAGCATTCCAAAAATTCAGGGGTGGAGTTATAGAAAGATATTGAAATAAGAACTTGCTTATTTAATCACCTAAATTAAGTAACTAGTGCAGTAGCACTTTAGGAGTAACTTTGGAAATGTAGTAATTACCTCTTTTACTATAGCTATTTTAAAATAATTTCTGAAGCAATTTTTATTTGGTAATATTATGAGAGAGGAAACGGAGATAAACTAAAAAATATGTACTACCTTGTAATTGTGTTAATTGCAAAATTGATTAATTGATAGTAAATGTTCATAGTAAATGTAATTTAAATTGCTGACTGTTGGCATTTGGCGTTACTTAAATGTATCTTTCTAGTAGTCTGGTTTGATTTTTAATAGTCAAAAGAAAATCACGCTGATGTACATTTTGTTATACTAGTTGGGTTTTGTTGAAGCTTGAACAGATAGTTTATGGTGAACTATGAAAGTTACTTTTCTTCTCCTTCTCTTTAAAGCCAGATGCTAGCAAGAAAATATACGTCCAAACTCAAGGTGAGAGTTTTGAAATACTGACCAAGGCATTCAATTTCTCTGAGTCATGTGTTTAGTACCTGTATGTTTATTTATTTACCTTCTTTGCCCTGGAAATATTTTGCTGAAATGGGTATGGGGTTTGAAGTCCTGGCTTCGCTGAGGTTGAGCTGTTTGTCATTGACTTTAATTGAGGCAGTATTTTGGTCTCTTAGCCTACATTTTCAACTAATTTGGTGCTTTAAAAAAAAAAAAAAATTCCCCACGTACCTTACAGTAGGAATCTGAAAGATAAGGTAACATGAAGCTTCCTCCAAAGCATACAGAAGTTAGCAGCCTAGGAGTGGACCCTCAGTCTGATTTCACGCAAGATGCTGAATGATTATTCTCTGAAGCTCCAGATTCCTGTAAATGCTAAGCTGAGTTCCCAGAATGACACCCAGCAAGTATCTAATCCGAAGTATATTACTTGAGTAGTCTAGGGAACACTCAACTCAGCATTTTAGATGTGATTACTTGAGCTACAGCTTCTGATTTTACTTGTCTAAAAATAACTGTCTACAGATTCCAAAACTCATTTCATTTTGTATATTTCACTTTCAAAGAAAATAAAATTATTTTCAAAATTGCTATGCTGAAATAACTCATAGTGAGGTCTGTTTAGCCTGTATTTAGTCTATATTTAAGCCACTTGTGAGGTAATAGTTAGCTAAGAGATTAAATAAATTAATAAAATAGTTTCATTAGTAAAATAATTAATCTTTAACATAAGGCAAACCAAGTACATTAATGTTCATTTTAGATTAATATTGAATTTTGATAAATATTTCATTTACTTTCTTTTCCTTATGTTAAGGACTTGGGTCTCAACTGACCTGTATCTGGTTTGGAATAATATGCTCTCTCAGATAATATTAGCTTGTATGTAGATTTTAAAAGGCCAAATTTAGCTTGATGTAAGTGAGCTTAATTCCCTGGGTTGCTACAGAAGTTCATACACTCTGTGATTGTGCAAAATTTTGAATTGAATTTCAATCTGATGACTATGGAAGGATTGTGCAGACAACCTGACATTGTTGGGAGGAGAAAAGCTTGAGATGCGAAGAGCTGTGGATGGAGTTCAGTGTGCTTGAGAGAAATACTGTTTGCTGAGGGCAAGACTTCCAGAACTGTAGTTCAGCCATCCAGGGGCCAATCAAACATGTTGTGTTTCTCTTTTTTTCAATACAGGAATTAAGACTATGCCTAGTGAAACATTTGACTGGTTTAGATTTCTACAAAACGCAGGTAAAAGTCACTTTTTTTTTAATTTATTTACTATATTTATTCTTAGTAGATGTCAATGATGAAAGAAATTTAGAATTGAAGGTTGACCGATTATGTAATAAAATGACTTAATGATATGAAAAATGAAAAACTTTTTAATATTAGATTCAGGCAGAATATTGATCAGATTAGTCTGGTTAGTAAACTACCCAGACTGCCTCCAGATTTCTGGTCTGTCTGGGGCTTAATTGCACCAAAAGATAAAATGGTGATGACATATGGGTCAGTGTCCCTTGGAGGGTAAGTCAGATCAAAACACCAATACCTGAGCATGCTGTGCTTTACAGTCGTGTGATAGAAACTGTGGGTGTCTTTTTCAGGAGAGCAGGTGAGGTGAAGAAGTGGTGAAGAAGGGAAATATGTGTTGATGTTTTATTATTTGGTCTTGATCTAGAGCCTGTCTCTGTTTTCACCAGAATAATGACATATAAGGCAGATGACCTAATTTAAAGTCACCTGTTCTTGGCAATGCTTTAATTGCTACAGCTGCCTTTCCCCAAAAGAAGAATTTGTAGGCATTTTACTGTGGTAAAAATATTTCAATATTACATTCATCAGTCTGATCTCTGATAGTACAGCTGTTCCCTCTGTTATGAATGATTCCTCACTATTCAATTGCTTTATCACATCAGTAAACGTGTGCCATTATTCAAAACCGGTGTCCAATTTTAAATTGAGCATTGTGAGGTTATTTTGTTCTCAGTAAATCACGGCACACAAGCACAGCCCCACTAAGATTAATAGTTTTCTGAAGTGAAATGCTTTGTCACTTGCTAGCACAGCCTTAGTGTTGATTGGATCTAACGTCCAACCATTTTATGATTAAAAGAGCAGTCAACAGATTGAGGAGGGGGAAGCTCCCCCTAAAGTGCATTTCATCTAATATATTAGAGACAGTTTTTTGCCTAATGTGTACTAATGCAAAAGTGTAAAATAGTTCATAAATAATGTAAAAACAAAGCAAACTAAAATGTGACTCTAACATCTGTGCCTGTTAAATAATAACTTGAAAACTGGCATCAGATTATTCAGTATTGTTTTTTATGACTGTTTCATCTCATTTATCTTATCAGTCTTGTTTCTATTTCCATCTCTGGTGGCAGCCTACAATTTCCACTTCTTTTAATATTGCACATGGAGGCAGGTTTTTTGGCTGTACCTTTGCGCTTACCACAGACTAATTAGGAGTTCCCACTGAATTGCTTTTCCGGCGATTTGCAGTTTTAAAGTGTTTAAAATTCTACTAAACTTGGAGCAATCAGTAGAAAACTATCAAAAATAGAAGGCAGTTTCGCTCAGAAGAATATCATTTTGATAGTGTAGGCTTGCACAGTGAAGTGCACTTGAAAAGATCCCTGGCTTTTATGCAGATAAAACTGTCCAATCTTGTTCACCTCATGGCGTTTATGTGCCTTTTTTTTTTTTTCTTTTTTTTGAAAAAGACTTTTTTTCATGAAGTTCTACTCCATATCTAAAGGCATGTAATGATTGTTGTGGGAAATATTTCTCCAGGTAACTCTTGCCTGTATTTTTAGCCGTATCCTTGAACATTTGTCAAATTCAGGATTTCCAGGACTGAATGTAAAGAAATAGCACGTGCCCTACAATGCAAATTATATACATTTGAGGCATCAGTGTTAAACATCCTTGGTCATCAGGCCATACATTGTCAAGTTATTCTTCAAAATTAAGTAGGCTCTGCAGAATATTTCCAGACTTTTTTAATAGAATAGACTTCTTAGGAATATTCTTTGTACTGATTTTTTTTCACTCATAGAAAAGCTTTAACATTTGTTATATTTAACACCAGTACATAAACAGTCTCTTTAAATCAGTGTAATGGCATCAAAAATAATTTAATGGTAGCTTTAAGTGAGTGGGAGAATGCATCAAATAATTTTACCCTCACTCTCAGCCCCCAAATATGAATGGTACTAAACCAAAAGCTAAGGAATCCCAGCTTTTTGTACATTTCATTTGGTAGTTTGGGTTGTTAAAATAAATAGCAATTGCCTAATACAAACTGAAGCAGTGCTGGGAAAGGTTTTTTATTGTCATTGTTATGAGTGCAATACAGTATCAGTACAGAAATCATGGAATTAGTATTTTTTTCATAGTCTCAGTAGCAGACTTGAGAATTGCAGAGGTGATGTTTGTGTAGTGTTAGTGTGCTAGCTCCTAGCCAGAGTATTATCAGTGGCTGGCTGTTAAAACATTTACCTACAAAAAAAGAGCTTTTGAAGTTAATTTGCATTCTGGTTAACAGTCAGCTTCACAGTGTTTGCCTTAGGTGGATGAGAGACTGCAAACAACAGTAGCCAAACCAAAAAGCTGAACCAAGTGCAGATTTCAACACAGATTTCAAGAAGACAATGTTTTTGGTATATTTAGTAACTCAGACTATTTAGGGAAGTACTACAGCCTGTGTCAGTCTGGAGATCACACCAGATGATCAAAATGTTTTTCTCTTGCCTTATAATACAGGAGTCTATACACAGCATAATCAGTTTTGTTAGCAATTTTAGATGCCTGTCTGTAGACTTGAGAGAGACAATGAAAGTTCAGGCTTTTGCTGAAAATTGATTGGCAGAAAATGACAAGACAGTCTAAGTAAATGCAAAAACTGAGACTGATCTTCTCTAACAACTTAACTCAAGGATGGAGCGTAGCTACTTAAGATCACAGACAGGCTTGATGTCATCATACCATGATGAAAGGCTCCTTTTGAATCCAGTGGAATGTGGCTGAAGCTTGTAAGATGTAAAGCCTAATAAACACTTGAACATCATGTGATTAGAAGACATAGATAACTAACAAAGTCTATACTAATGAACTGAGAAAGCTCGTCTACCCAACAGATAAGACTAAAAACTGCTTTCCTGGAAGGTGACACAGAATCATAGGATTAGATGCTTATTGCACTATCAAATATGTAATATACTTTTGTAGTTTGATTTTTCTACTCTCGGATAATTTCTGCTTCATCGCACATCTATTTTCAGGGCTTGAAAAGTTTACATAACCTGTCATGACACAGACAGGGTTTTACAGAGGTATTATATTTTCCTAAAGCTATGCTGGAAAAAAAGACCCATATAAGAAAAATTAAATAGTAAAAGTTTGTGAAGATATATAGCTGACCACAGAAATAATGATATGATAGCAGCAGTGTTCCCCAACAGATCAGAAAGCATACAGCTTTTTTGTTGTCTGATCTGTTAGAAATAATAAGAAGTGGGGAAAAAAAGGATTGCTGGAGAATTTTGCAGTCTGATTTTTCTGGATTAGTAGCCTGCCCCTGGAAGTTAACAGCTTCATTTAACTTCTGTTGTCTTCACAAATGTATCAGCAATGCTAGCAATTATTCACTATTGAATATGGATAGCACTATATAAACGCTGTGGATATAGTTATTACCTCCACTTCCCCTTAATTTCTAAGAAACAAATTGCTTTGTAAAATAAAAGCTCAACTTCATAAAACATTAATAAATGTTTGAGATATGCAGGTGGCTAAGTATGTTCCTGAAATACAACCTAATTGGGCTAATAATTATCTAAGTTCTGTGTCATCAGTGACTCCAATTAAAGAAACTTCAGAGTCAGTGTAAAGTAAGACAGCACGGTGAAGCTGTACTGCAGTAGGACAGAAAATAAAAAATAACCATCTTAGAGACTGAAATCTCAGCAATAAACCAATGGATTTCCTTTTCTAGGAGATCAGTCAATACTTTCAGATGCATAGGAGATGGATAGATGGACAATTTTCAAGAGGAGTGAAAGACCTGCTGTGGTTCAAAGTGAACAGAAAGGAAAATGAGAAAGGTTATTGACCCTCACCATCTTGTCATGGCTTAGATTTTTTTTTTTTCTGAACAAAACCAAAAATGGATGACCGAGCCCAAGCATTATGGACTTCGTATTGTTCTCTAAAGGTCCATAGAACACAACAGTGAACTGGAAATTAGGGGTTGGAAAATTAATCTTAAAATCTTTGTTCATCTTTGACCTAATATTAATAAGAAATGTTTTGACTGCAGACCAGTTTTTTTTATGTTACTGGGCAGTCTTTGTCTCCTAAATTATAACCTGTAAGTCCAATATTGATATTTTTGATCAAATATACTTAACCTCTGTACAAATTGGATGTTAAGCTGTAAAGGAATGAACACATCTTAAGAACTTTGGCTTTGTGAGGTTGTTGGTTCAGGTCCAAAAGAGTAACTTTGAATGAAAAATCACATTGTTCCTCTTTGTATTTTTCTCCTCTCTAGAGATTTTAAAAACACCTTACAAAAGCATAATAGAGACTTATAAGTAAGAAAAATATTTTATTTTCTTTATTTGAGCAAGTGGTGAGAAAATTGCTCACTTAAGATGTTCTCAAACTGCTTCTTTAGCTCTCGGCAAGCTAATGCTTGATATTACTCATTCACTTAGAGGCCTGCAGTAAGATTAAAGATTTGCGGTAATAAATTTATTTTTACTGTACATCTATGATTACTACCTTTTTTTCCTGATAGTACCTAGAGGGGTGGAGTTAATGAATCTGCTCTTTCAGAATCTGTTTAGATAACGCTCCTACTTATTCTTGCCTTTCTTAGAGAAACAATGTCCTTACTAATGGTTCAGAAATGATGTAGGCTTATGTGTTAGCTGTCTGTGTTTATGTTTTGCTATTCTGGCATCTAAGTACAGATTTTTATGAAGGCCAAAGTGTAAACTATCATAGTGTGTCATAATAGTAAAACAGTTGATGTGACAAACAGTTACACAGTTTCAGATAAGGAACAAACGACGAGCCTATGGAATCTTAAATAATAAACTGCTTATTTCCAGTGTTACATTATGAAAATGTTTTCCACTTTTAATATACTCCATTCTCTCATTCTGTCTTGCAACTAAAGACCTCAGAACAGTTTACTGAAAGTTAAACCCAGTGCTATTGCTTCATGTTAAATAATTATTAACCTGCTTGCAGATGAATGGGTAAGTCTAGATGGATAAGGCTAGATCTGAGAAACTTTCTCTAGGCCATGCCATGGCTCGGAATCGCAGCCAGCAGGAGAACATGAATCCTGAGTATTAATCACATTTCATCTGTGAGCCAATATATTTTGTGCCAGGTTCTACTACTATCAACAAATACACTGGCACAGCAGTTGGATACCCTTTTGATCATGCAATTCCACTCTGAAATTTTAAGTGCCAATGCTACATTGCTGTGTTTCAATTTTGACCAGCATAATACTACCTCTGCTCCATGGTGAAAAAGGAGTTGCATGACTGTGGGAGTTCCATGTCAGTCTTAATCTTCCACTGTGTCTGTCTCATTTCAGCTCACCTGCAGTTCATTCGTTACCACCCCCATGGTCCTGTGTGGCGTATCAGGACAGCATACAGTCAAGCTGATGAGAGGGAATGAGTTTTCATAATCCTATCAATCACTGCTCTTGTTTTGACCTCTCGCATCTTGCTAAACAGGTGACCTGCTAAGCAGGCTCAAGACTAGCTGTGGCCAATGTGCAGCTGTTTTTTATAGATAAAGCCAATGCAACAAATCAAGACTACAGCCATAGACAAATACTGACAACACATGTTTAAAGGAGCATCTCTTACTGACATTAAACAATTATTTTTGACGCTGAAAGAGACATTGATTACAGTGGCAAGACTTGACTTGCATTTAGTGCATAGTGATTCTGAAGGATGGCTGGAAAACATGTACCATGAGGTCTTTTTTTTTTATTGCCAGTGATTATGTACAAATCTTTATTTTGTATTTTCTTTGTGAAGCAAACAGAAGGAGGCATGAGCTAAGAGATAACGAAGCATAGTGTGCTGCTTCAAATCTTTGCTTTTATAACGCTAACAGAAACGGGGAGAAATGGACACAAGCATTTTTTTATTATTTGGGTGTTTTGCATGTCATTCAAACAAGATAGTGATACAGTGAATGTATCAAAAGAGCAAATCAGTTGACTGTGCCATGTTGATGTATTTCCATTACAGAACTGAATCCCACGGGATGGTAGTATCTTATTGCAGATTAAGTAGCCTATCTGGGAAAGGCAGAATGAAAGCAAAAATTCACATACTGAAAGTCTTGCTTCAGCTCAAGGAAAAACAAAAAATGTCTTCTTTCAAATACCAGTTTTCACGCAGCTGATGGCAATAACAGCTATTGCAGTTATTCTCTTAATATGTTCCCCTTTTCAGCGTTCACATGAGGACAAAGCATATGAAAATGCTTTCCTGTAGAAATGGTGGCGCTTTTTTTTTTTCTTTTTCACAGCAGGGGTGCTAGCAAGGCTTGAGGAAGCAACAGGTGGGGAAAAAAATGATGCAGGCATCATCTTGATGTGTGAATTTAACCATTTTCAGTGAATGAGCAGAAAGCTAACAAGATACACAAGTGCTGCTGAAGCTTGATCTTAAGTAGACAGAGAATGAGTAAACTCCCAGCGCTAAACAGTGGCAGTGATGTGCTGGTAATGCATCTTCTCAGGAATGTCTTTATATGCTTCTAAGTGGATTGAGTCGGGAAAGTCTGCCTCTAAAAATGAATTAGGTGATGACTAAGATCTACAGCATACAATAAAATAAGACTACCACTGATTCTCACTTCACTAAAATGAATGGCAGAAGGAAATCTTTTTTTGGCTAGCCCTTCTATCACCGTTTTTAGAAATGCCATGTAGGATCCAGTCTGTAGTCCAGTGTATCCAATATCTGCTATTTCAGAGAAGAGTGCATAAAATTTCAGGATAGACAAGTAGGACTTTGTAAAGTTGCATGGAGGTGATAGTCTGCAGTGAGAGTTCAAGCTTGTGAATGTCTTTTCAAAATAATAAGGGTCAAATAAGCGGGCTATTTTCATTGATATTATTTCTGGTAATTTCACTAGTGAAATAATTAGACTGTTACTGATGAGATTCCTGGGACAAGTATCTTTAAATGCCCCAGGAACTGAATGGCAAAATGCAGATTGCAAATTACAATTACTGTCTGTAGGGCCGCTTCGGGTTCAGGATTTCATACAGGAGCAGAATGGCAGTCAGGACTGCACAGAGCCGGTCATTTAGGGCTTCTCATAGTCAGAGCACTTTAAACCCTTATCTAATCAAATGAAAAAACTGAAAGCTATTAAGATAGAAACAAAAAGATGTTAAAAGAGAAAAAGAAGCAGTTATTTCAAGCACAGTTAATGTTGGTTAGTGTACTGTCACATCAAGAGTGCAGTCATTCTGTAGTCTCGACGTGAGAACAGGAAGACCTGGTTTCTCACTACTGTCTGACTGAGCTTCAGCACCAGCTTTAAGTTATTCCAAAATAGCCAAAGCTGAACATCGATAGGTGAGAGTTCATAATTTAAAATGAATATTTGTGCCATATGGATAGTTAAAATGCAGTCTGAATTTTGCTGACGCTTTCTAGTAATTTTTTTTGTGCGCGAGTTTGTCATGAATTGAAACCACTGCTGCGTGTCTTAAAAACAAACAGTATTAATGGCCTATTGCACCAGAAGAATCACTTTTTCAATCCAAATGTTTGTGTGTTACAAATTACAAATTATTTCTTGGTCCAATAACCAGTAAAATATTACTTACTGTTGTCTGCTGCAGCCACTCTTGACAACTCAAGCTGTTTAAGTTAAATGAAACAGACTCAGTAATGAACCCTGTGACAGGGAGCATTTAAAAGTCCCTGAACTGGATTTTAATTTTAAAAGCAATAGCACTTGAGTATATCATGAATCGCTACTCTCTTGATTCTCCCCCTCCCGCGAAATAGAGGTTTGATGCAGAGCTCATGTTAATCCAGTTCCTTGGCATGAAGGGAGATATTCCTGGCATGTGTCTTCCAGGGCCTGGAGCAGACCCTGCAGTTAAGTTATACCATGAGGAAACGTAAGCTAGTACCAAGTTTGAGTGGTCTTAGAAATGGCAGCGATTCAGTGATGCTGTATAAGCAGCTGAGTTGGTCCTGCAGCTGGTGGAGATGAGTAGCAGCAGATCATGCTGCCACCACAACTGTCCCGCTGCCTTCCCCTGCTAATCATAAATCCCATGACGGTCATTCTGACCTGGCAGCGTGGCCCTCCTGGTAGCTCTGTGACAGAGCCTCGGCGTGGGACCCAGGCATTAAAGTGTCCCACAAACAGCCTGCTGCTGAAGAGCAGCAGCTTGATGCTCTTTGTTGAGCTGCCTGGTGTTAGATAATACGTGTCATCCATCCTTGCTGTGAGCTCAATAAATAGGTGAACTGAAGGACAGCAAACTGATTTGTTCAGTACTGTAAATCAAACGTGAACATTTCAACCCCTCTATTGTTTATTAAATTATGTTGTTGTTATGTGTGTTCTTTCAGCAATTTGTGAATTATGTTGTTTTATCATAAACACATTTTACCAAAGTTCATCACATAGTGACCCTTCTCCAGAAGTATGTTCTGAGTTAATTGGGCTGTCATAGAGCCAATGGCAACTGCAATATCATACATCAGATCTTCTTTTTCTAATATAGCCTACAAAATTATTTTTTATGGGTTGTTGCTGTGTATTTGAAGAGAGATTTTTCAATGTTAAAAGCTCCGACACTTTTTTTCCCAAATTAATTTTCATTTGTATTTCTTAGAAATAAGGTTAAAATAAATGTTTTGCAATAATTTAACTTCCAGTTAATTATTCTGTAGCAGCACTAGCATGTTAGAGACAGATAACTATGGGACATTTATCTGATCTTTTATAACAAAGTGTCAGAACAAGAGCTCTAATCCCTACACCCTTTGATTAACTAAACCTCACAATATCCTTGAAACAGGTGTTATTACATGGATGCAATTTTTTTTCTTCTTATGGGTAGAAAAACTGAGAAACACACTGATTTGTGTGGTTGCCTTGTCAGTCAAAGCTGGGGTCTGGTGTTCAAGAGTACTGGCCACCGGCCGTTTCTCCAAATCCTGCACATTCACTGCCTCTGAAAATAAACTCCTGTGCTCTATAAAATGATGTGCATGATTAAGTTCTCCGCTAAGTTGATTTGGGGATTGATGTGAGAGCAAGAAACAGAGGGAATAATGAGAACTTTTCAGAATCGACCCTATTGCTGTTATTACCACTTTATATGCTCATTCATGAAACAATTTGGAGGGTTTATCTTTTTTTATCTGCATTCAGACTTTTAAAATTATTTGTTTCAGACATTCCTACAGATAAAGGCAGTTTACATATGTTTCTTTTGGTATGCGGACTTCGAAGAGTCAAAGACCCTCTGTATTTAGTAGATGTATTTTCAGGTAGGTACCTGCTATTTGAATACTGTTGTTTTGTCCCTGGATTCAGATGCATTTTTTTCAATGTTTCTAAGTTTGGCACAAGCTGGTTTATTCATTACAGAAAACTTGATAGCATATTTACATTTTAAAAAAGAAAACAGAGTATTAAAATCAAAGCAATATTTGATGATTTTACTTGCTGGGAAAGCTATTCTGCTGTTACATACAAAAATAATGGAAGACAAAAGAAGAGTTCACCTACTTCAGAATAACTTTTATCTTACCGTCCTGTGGCTGTTAACACTGATTTGCATTTGTGTTAATTAATATCACTGAAGTGACAAGCCAATTTTACTGCCCATCGTTATGGCTCAAACCATAAACTAGGCTGAAGTTTTCTTGTAGTCATGTAGGTGAATGTTTTGCCAGGTTCTGTTTGTGTCTGTAAAAGATTCAGGTATTCCAAGTTGGAAATTTAGCCTCCACTGCTCAGCTTACTTTTATAAGCCTTTACCACCTTGTGGTGCTTAGTAACAAATGTAGTTTATTAAAGTCAAGTAACTGGTTTTGTTCTATTCTGGTATTGAAAGAGCAGCAGATTTTTCTTGTGCATTTAACTGAGTATTATATGTAATGGTTGCAGTTGCTTCCACATGTTCCTTTACATAGGAAAAAATTTGAAAAAACGTTGTCTTAGTGACCAGAGTCACTGCATTATGTAGAGCATTGTTCTCTTGAGATTATTCAAAATTAATATCTGAGCTTAGTTAAATAAACCTGGAGTCGTAAGAGACTGCATGAAGCAGAAATGCTAAATACTAACTTTCAGATATGCTAATCATCTGAATTCTGAGGAATAATGAGGGCTGAGCATGAAGTCTGGTACACACTCAGTCTTTTAAGTAGTAATACAATATTTGCCTAATTCTTCTTTATTCATGCACTTATTTACATTGATTTCAGAGAAAGTATTAAATTAAATTAAAAATTAATAATTTTGTTTAATAAAACAAGATGATGTTCTTCTGTTTTAGACTGGCACAGAAAGGATCCCAGTGTCCATCTGGGCATAGTTGGACCTGCGGTAAGTTGTTCCGATTTTTATTTTATTTGTATGTTTATTCCTAAATGCTTCCATTTACTCGCATCTGAATATTGCAGTAGTTCTTTACAAACTGAACCTGAGTCAAGGGACTTCTAACTGTTACAGAGATAAGAAGGGGCAAACCTAGCAGTTGTAGAGGCTCTTCATATCAGGTCTAAACTGTGGAAGTGGAAGTGATTGCAGTGCTTGGACTTCCAAAGTTCAGAGTTCTGCTGTCAGCCAAAAGACCTCCTCACTCAGCATGTGCTCAGCTTTTTGCAAAAGGGGAGGCAGCTAAGAGGGTTTTTCTAAGAGGACAGGCACTGAGATAGCCCAACTCTATTCAGTTAGGTTTTTATTAATGCAAACTGTTATCAGTAGCACTAAAATAGTTTACAGCAGCTGTAGATTTTTTACATATACTGATTTTTTTTTTCTTTAGGAGACTTGGGCTAGTTTTATAAAGGGCATTTGCAGCTGGGTTACTATAATTTTATGTCTAGCTCAAGCACATCACTTGATAATGCTATTAATCCATTATGGTCTCTTAGAATAAAACATTTAGTGTTTCATTTGTCTATAGAGACAACTTCTGAAGATAAAGTATCAGAATATTTGGATTCTAATATTGGCTTCTGTTTTTATACCTGTGGGATAGTACAACATTTTTAGAGAATCAGAAAGTCCTAAAAATGTGAACTCTTGGAAATAAAATATTAGAAATGCCTATTTCAATATGAATAATTTATAAATAAAACTATCAAATATTTTGAAAGGCAACAGTTGCCAGCTAGAAAAGTTGTTTTAGAAGGTATTGTTAATAAGGATTTTTAGTACTGTGAAGGTGATATCAGATGCTCATTATCCCTGTTCTTACATCTTTTGTTCACGTGGAGGATTGCGTCTTTGTTCCATTCCATTTAGATTTTGATGCCATTTCTGGTAGTCTCAATTCATACACAATTAACAGTTGTCAGCAGGTGCAAAATGATGTTAGGTTTCTGTCTGACACCAGACAGCAAGGACAGAGCTTGAGCTGACAAATAAAATTGGTGAAGTCTGTTTCACATTTAGAACCTGTGTGAACTAAAGCCTGGGTTACAGATACCTGAGAAGGAAGGTGGGGTTGAATAAAATAAATAAAATCCGAAATGCAGTTGTTCTTATATGTCCACATCTCAGATTGAGCTTAGATTTTGGTATCATTCCTACCGAATGAATTATATGTATTTTAGTAAAAGTAATGTGAGATTTCATTTTTTCCCCCTCAAGTCATAACGGTCTTGTTTAAGAAATTTGGAAGTTACAACTTCTAATGCTTTCTTTTCACTGAGGCCTTTAGAAAGGAACTGTCCATGAACATGTGAATGTTCTTATGATTGCTGTTAAGTACAGTACTGAAAAAGTGCAAAACTACAAAATGCATGGTTATTTTCAGTACTATGAAAGATTAATATTTCCCAAATCTCAGTCTACCCAATACCCTACCTAAACATTTGGTAGCACAGTATTTGCTGTGGGCCAGATACTCAACACTAGCAACTGCACTGTAAATTGGTGAGGGAGAGGGGGGAAGATGCCTCTGAGCCACTAAAGTGCTTCTCCTAATTCTGTGCAAAATGAGGTTCATTCCCACAGCCCAGCCCAGGGGGAGCTGCAGCGAGACTGTCCTGCAGCTTCTGCTTCTAGTATGTTACCTATGTCAAGGGACCATACCTTATGCTAAACCAACAACTAATTGTGGAACTTGAGAGAAAGAAATCAATTGTGCTAGATGTATATCCATAGCAGCAGAAGTCTTAAAAAGTCAGCCTGTAGTCCTAATCTAACCAGTGGAAGAGGTATGAGTAGGCAGCTGAAACAAACTCTTGCTGACGCTGAAAGGGTACTAAGAGCTTCGCTGTTTCATCTGGGTAATGTCTTTGTGTCTCTCTGTAAGTCTCATCTCTGATTCATCTTCACATGAACCTGAAAACTTGCAGGCAGTCTGTTTTAACAAGAAAATAAATAAAGTCTGAATGGGCAAATAAGAACTATTTTTCTATTTTCTCATTTGGTTTTGTTCTTTGTAAATTTTGGACATTGTTTTTACATCTTTATTTTATCTGCATTTTTTCCATGCTAATACACAAAATGATTTGGAAGTGAACTGGTGTGGAAGGCAAATCTAGAGCAGGTGGAATGAAGCTGTGCTTTAGAATCAAAAGATGCACTTGCTGCCTCCAGTGAGGATTTTAAACATTTTAGTCATCTTTTTAAATTTGCTTCACTTTTTCATAAGCTAACATCTTTACAGTAAGCTACCAGAAATAACCCTGTGGCAGTGCGTAGGTGGGATCAAGGACTGAACCTCCTTAAAAAATTTAAAAACATATTTCTCCCATAGTACTAAAATATTGCTAAAGGACGAAAATAAATCTCAGCTCTATTGGTATTTAGCTCTACTTTTCTTATTCATGGTACTGCTCAAACCACAAAATCTTAAGAAAATCAGTGCCATTAACTGTGAAGCAAATCACGTTTATTGTGAATATTTTTTAAAAAGCACATTAAGATTATATTAATTAAGATTATAAAGAACAAAAAGGCCCACACACTCATTTCTGCTTTGCTTCCATAAGATTATAACCTTTTCCCTTCATTTGCTATGCATGGTTGTCTCAAATGGTACAATCTAAGCAATGCTGAAGGATCGGGTCCTGTATAATGTAAAATTTTTAGCATTTACCTCCTCTTCCAGTTTTCCTTTTGTTCATTTCTGTAATGAAATTTGAAACAACAGCTAATTTTTAGCAGCTCTGTACTCCAAGAATAGAAGCTTATGAAACTTTAAAAAAGGCCACAAAATTTGTGTCACAGTAATTAGGAAAATCAGATAGGAAACGAAGTTACAGTTTCAAATTATTTTGCCTGCTGAGGCATATGAATTTCTGCCAGCCACCTCCTCAATAAGTGTCCCTCTCACTGAGCTATTTTTTAAAAGGTAAGAGCTACTGTTACCATTAAGCTGACAACTCTTCTAAACCTTTGTTTGCTTGTTCTTCAACAAAAGCTCCCTGAAAATAAAACTTTTGTTAGAAATGTTGAGATGAGCTGTTCCCCTATTTCTTAAAAAGATTCTGTATTTTTTTTAGACCTGAAGTTTTGTTAATTTAGATCCTAGTTGCCAAATTGTTTCAGCTGAATTAAAACTGTATTTTTTACAAATTGTTAATTGTCCCAGACTGCAGTAGTAGAGCTACAGGTTAAGCCAGAAGACATTGAATTTCCTGAAGGATTTAGTATATGGAAAAGGTGATGTAGAATGGCCAAGTTAGTATGTTCACAACGATCCTGTATTTCTGGTGCATTTGCTGCAGGCAAATTGTGTTGCATTGCAGACAGCAGTTGTGTTGTCGGTTTAGTGAAGCTCAGTCTTGCTGAGCCTCTTCAAGAATTGATCAGATAAAAACTGTGATATGGGGTCGCCTGCTGCTGTGAATAAGGCTGATTCCCTACGCAGGGATGCTGCCAAGACCTCACAAACCCGAGCAATTGAGCAAATTCTTCCTATCCTTACAGAACAGGGATGCAGATGGAGCTTTTCACTCTTTAGTACTCCGGGTGATACCCTGACAGAACTTTAAACATACTAAGAGCTATTTTTCCCTATGAAGTCAAGAGGGCCACTGTAGTCCCAGCATTATAATGAAGATGTTTCTGGACCGCTGCTTCTGTCTGAGTTAATTTTTATATGACGGCAATTTAATATAGTGTGTTTATAGAAGATTTCCTAGATTTTGATCATGGTAGGCCCTGTGCTTAATAGGCAACTTCAACTTTGTGCAGCGTTTGATCTGTGACTTTTTGTCTCAGATGTTTCTCTGCCTGTCAGGGGAGTAGAGCTTCCCGAATCGCATATCTGGTCCTCCTAGGTGTGGTTTCTTGCTGTGTGCCCACTCCCCGTTCCATGTGTCATCTTCTCTCATCTGTTCTGATAGAAACGATTCATACAGCACGAGCTGCCTTCCTCTGATCTCTGCTAAATTGATGAAATGTGCAGCTCTCTGAAGGCTCTTCCTCTGGATGGATGAATTTTTTTAAGAAAAGATGATAGGTAACTGATGATTATATCTGCCTGCTGTGTTGATAGGTAAAAAAATAAAATGTGGCAACAAGCACTCTACCTGTGGAAAAACTAGAACACGGAGGCATTTTGGGTGGAACTAACATACTTTTCAGTAGCTTTTTCTGAGACTGTGCTAAGTTGCTAGGCATCCTGCCATAGTCAGTTGGCTTTGGAAGCATTCACATCTTTTAAATGCATTTCCAACTTACTGAACAACTTATGTTGTATCTAATTTCTGTTATATTGAGCCTGTGGTTAGATAACTGTGCCCCCTCAAGTTCCTAAATGTAGCTCAAGGGGATCACTTCTCCAAGTCATTGCTACACCCATCCTGAAAGTAATATTTTAACTGAATTCTCATATACAGGCCAGGCTTCTTGGAATATCTACCAATAGCTGAATAAAGCTTAAAGGATTGTTCTGCTTGAGGCAGATGGAAATTTCTCAGCTTCCACAGACGTAGATGGGATAGAAATTAATATCTTACAAATTTTATGAGTCACAGGCTTTAGTTTTTCTCATCCTTCTAAAGGTAGAAGAGTAAAAGACCATATCCCACTGCTATTAAATCACTTGCAAGTACTCCCTTGATTTTAACGGAAACAGAGTATAGTTCCTCATGAGAGGAACTCAGCATCAAAATAGTACTTTGGGGAAAAAGCTGAAAAGATATTTATATAGAAATAGCAATTGTGAAGTTCAGTATGAAATAGCCAAGGAACCTGTGACATGACATACTGGCTTAATGTACGGATCTGTATCCTACTCTGTCACCAGGATCAGGTAGTGCTTCAGGAAAGGCTACTTGATTTTTCCCCCCTGCTGTTACCAAAAATACTTCCTTAAGCAGTCATGCAAGCATTTTATTTCTTGCATGCAGTAGGAATTAATTCCTTAGCGCAAGAGTGAGTCGCGTGAATATTTTAATTTATGAAGCCCTGTTTTTATGAAATAATCTTATGTTCAAAGTACACAATCATAGTTATAAAATAAATTCTGCCTTTTTTCCAAAAGTTTTCTAAAATGCTTTGTGAGTGTTCTTTTATCTCATAATGTGGAAAAAAAAAACCAACCCAAAAGCAAAGTATTAACATGAGTTAAAAAAAAAAGCCATGTTTTTCACAGTACTTACAACTGCTGCATGCTGTGCAAGCTATCACAAATTAATCTAATGTAGTCAGTCAGCCTTAATAAAAAAAGTCTGTTTCTGTTCTTCATGTCTAGTTAAGGATTTCCAAGTTCTGTTTATTTCTTTTAATCATGTTAAATGAAAATAGCAGACATAGTTAAGCTTGGTAAATAAACCTGCTGGAGTTAATTGCCGAGCTTAGACAACTTTTTAATAACTGTAGCGTGCCTTCATGTTAGTCTGTATCTTGGAATTTTGCATTTATTAGTTTTCAGACAAATGTTTCTGTTAGTGCATAACATCTATCTGACTGTCCCAGCTTACGTGCGGGTTGCTTTCTGTGTTAACTAAAGTCTGAAAAGTTCCTTTCCTTCCTCACCTTGGTTACTCCGTACCTAAAGGGACAGACAACTGCTTGGTACGTCAGTGCGTTGTTCCTCACTTAGACAGCAAGTTGTCAAATCGGTCATTTGAATCATGTTAGCTTTAGCAGAGTCATCTGAAAAGAGTCATTCATGTTAAATAAATCTAGCTCTAATTAGAACCTGCAGCCAGAGGGATGTCAGGGGTGAAGAAATGGAACCTCCCCTTCTGACAGTAGCCCTAAGCGGTACTGCATTAGAGTGGTCCCTTAAAGGTTTAGAGTGGAGTAGTCAATCCACGCTCTGCTATACTGTGCACTCGCCCCCCCAGCTGGATATTCTAAGTGTCAATCACTCACGAGAGCCGCTTGTCTGAAGAGTCAAATGTAACTACCAAGTTACAGATCTGTGGTATGATTTTAAAGCTCAGCGCAGTCACACATTTAAATATTTTAGTAAAAAATATGCTAAAATTTATTTTTCTCTTCTGGGTATTTCAAACATATGCTATAGTGCTAAAGCATATATCTGTGTGTATATTCCTTTCTAGGTTGATCCACTTTTTACAAGTGAAGTTAAAGAAAAAGTTAAAAGGTAAGAAGTTAATGTTAAGCCTGTTACTGTTTTCTGCTCCAAGAGAAACCAGCTGGCTGACTAGCTTTTTAAATCAGTTGTGTAAATACTCTTTCCTATATACAAATGAACATACATACACCAATCTCTGTGTAACTAACAAATGTGTACTGGTTATTTGATGTGTGACTTCTCAGACTAGGTATGCTACACATTTTAAATTTTGGAATAACCAGTATATCTCTCCATGTTTTGTGTTAAGTCATATCTGATTTAGTGTGATTTATATTTTTTATTCTTTTGAGTCTTTTCGTTCTTTCTTTCATCCTGGCTTCTGCAAGATTTTGTGTGCTTGCTGTGGTTGGGTAAATGAGTAGATGGACAAGGTAACCCTGTATAGCTTTTTTCTGTCCTTAGTTTACATGCTTTCTGACTGAAGGATATCAATGTTTGAGAAACAAGATTTTGTGTGTGTGTGTCTGCAGAACATAGAATTGTCTCACTTGAACAGAACAACCATATTATCTCTGATTGATAATATCTGATAATAAAATCTGCATAAAATATGTGTTTTGCCATTCCATTTTTGGCCAAGAGATGTTTTTTGTTTTCTGTTAGGTTATTAATGGGAAACACAACTCCTGTAATCATGCCTGTATGCTCCATATTTATCTCTGCAGAAGCTGGATGTTGCTGCAGAATCAGAAAAGCAATGTTTAACAAAGTCTAGTTGACAGGGAGCTGCTCTTAATGTCATCTGCGCTTGTGTTTCCATCTGGCTTAGTGATCTCATGTTGAGGTTAAAGTAGCCGGAGCAGGTTTATCAAGTGGAGGAGATGCTGGCTTTTCAAAAATGATCACCAGTCTTAAAGATCTCAATCACTTCATCTGAGACTGAACACCTAATCACCCTATTTTTTTCACCCTTCACCCTTGACTTGATTGGCCTTCATTAATCTGAGGAAGATAAGGACAGTAGAAATGTAACCCTTCAGAACAGAAGAGTGGTTATAATAAAAGAGGAAGCAGAAGGGGTCTTTCAGAACCACATTCCATCCCCAAAAGTCAGCAACTGAAAAGTCATCATCTCCTGCAGTTGACCATTCTGATGATCATGCTCCATTTAAGTAAGAAAACTGTGTGTTTTTCATAAAGCTCTGCCTGCGTCCTCCCTATAGTACACAAATTCTCTAAGGGAAAATTGTACCCCTATCCACTGAACTCAGGTCTTTCATTTGTGAGAGTGCTTGTGGTTAACAGAGCGTGGTGTTAAGTAATCAACTATAAAACTTCAGAACAACAGACCATGAAGTGGGAGATAGCAATGTATAATTGAGTTTATAACCGCATTTACAGATAGAAACCTAGCAAAAACACGGTAAAGTGGCTTGCCCATGGGCAAGCGATTGTTAGCATCACAGCCGTGCCAGAATTGCTCTGACCACCTTCCATCATTGCCCTAAGTTTTCAGAAGAACTGTTAGAGCACGTTCTTAGGAGGTGTCCTGTTTGTGTGCATTTTATTTCTAGGACACCTGGAGTACATTTATTACAGGAGATGCCACAGGATGTTCTTCATGCTGCTATGAAAAGGTGCTTTGCTGTGGTGAACAGCTCCGTTTCAGAGGGGATGTCTGCTGCAATTCTGGAGGTAATTGCATCTTAGCGGCAAGGTTTTTCAGAGAGGTTACAGTGAATCTGAAATTGCCTTTTATCACTGGAAATGTGTGTCAACATTTTATGTCCATGTTTCAAAGCTAGTGAAGACAAAACTAAAATATTTCTTTTTGCAAGTGTTACTAATTAAGGCTTTCTTCCCTTGAACTGACAGGTTTTTGTGCTTTGTCTATTTAATTTTTAAAGGACAGAATGTAATTTTATCAATCCTGTTAAATTAACAATACAGATCTGAGATTTAAGAATCATTCTGATTTACTGGGGTTGTCACTATTCTCGATTCAACATCCACTTCCTTATAATGTTGCTAGAATAGACTTTCATTTATTTTTACATCCTTTCAAAAAGCAATCTAAGAGCTGTGTTTGGTTACTTAATTCTGAAATGATTAATGAATGAATGACACTCGGAGGGTTTTTTGCCATCAGTATTCAAAATTAATAACCAGGTTTATTTCATACTTGTCAAAGTAGGGCGCTGCTTAGTATGAAGTGCTTTCTAGGAAAAAAATAACTGTACTTAAAGTGGAAGTTCTTGGGACAGACTCCTTTTACTGTTCTGTTGGGGGTTATTCTGTGACTGCTGAATGTTGGTTTGTGATGATCTCAGAAGATCACAAACTATTACATGATTTGTATTACTGAATCTCCTATTTCTGTTCCTAATGAGTAATTACATGTTGCATTTCCAGTGTGCTTTCCTTCCACACACCTGGAAGTCGTTTGTAAGTAAGAACTAAGTGAGCATTGTAAGAATTACGAAAGTTAGGTGATAGTAAGATAGCAAATGTGTATTTCCTTTTAAAGTGCCAGTGCTCAGAGGTGGAAGCAGCTGCTGTTTCACAGCAACATTATGCTATAAACAACAATTACTACAGGCTGTGATATTTCTAAACTTATCAGTGTGGCAGGCTAGACACATTTTGTACGTTCAGTAGTTGAGATGAAATGGCGTGTACCAACACAGTACACAGCCACAACTAAGTCAGTGACTTTAGAGAAGTAAAAGTTAAGTAACTGCCACCTCCTCCTCACCAGGTACATGTCACCTTCAGGACTACTCACATAATAGTTGACGAAAAAACAGAGTGGAGGGAAAAAGGGGCAAAATAAGCAAACAGAAAGACTGTTAAGAGACAGAGCAACTACAACAGAGTGCAGGCGTGCTTGGCCTGATACAAATTGTTATGCAAACTCAGGACTGATGGGACAATTGGTATAGTTTCCCCCAAAATTTTCCCATCAGATTTGAGCAGTTAAAAGGCACTTCCCTTAGCATTTATTGGGAGAGGGAGAGATCTTCTAAGTTCAGTGTCTTAACAAATATATGGTAACTCAAAGCAAAAAGATAACTGCAGTTTACTTCAGAGGTAATGTTGAGCCTGCTTCAGGAATTACTGATTTTTGCTCTCCTCTTTCAAAGTTGCAGTTCTGACAAGTTTTGAATCTGATAACTTATAAATCAACAAGGAAAGTTTTTATCTGAGCTCTCTTCTATGTGGCTGAACTATTAATTTATCCTATCAGGGCTATTAAATAGTCAAATACCACCTCCAGGGGAAAGCTGTTCTTTCAAGTTTCCACGACACAGTTATGTTGAGTAATTTTTTCCCAATTCATACCCAGACCTGTCAAAAAAAAAAAAAGAAAGAATCCCCTCCAACAACTGTTATTCTCACTGAAAATTACTACACGAACAAAATAGTAAATACTTCCTGTTATATTTCTTTTCTTTGTCTAAGAATTGCGAGACTGTTCTGGCAAAAGAGCATTCTATGCAGACATTCGCTTCCTCCATTTTGATGTTTTTCTTACATCAGAAAAAATTATACATTGGGATGAATCATCAAGCAGTATTCATTTTAATTTTTCATGCTGAGTTTATTCATATATGTTTTAATACATATATAGTAGATTAGTTAGTTTTACTTTTTTATCTTGCATGTAGCTGTGCATATTATGTCCTAGGCTAGTCTTATGCTTGATACATTTAATTCTACTGAAGACATTACCTTTACTAAAAACAAAGTTAATCAACGTTTAATCTATCTTGTAAGTCTTATTCTGAGTTTAACAGCTAAACATGCTAAAATAAACTGGCAATTGACCATAGTGGAAAAATTAAATTCTCTCTTCTAAGTGCAAAGCTTGACTTACAGTAGGCTGTTAACTACTTCCTTGTATGTGATAACTTTTTTGTAAAAAGAAGACAAAAAGATCCTGCTCTTCTTTCTTCTGTTATTACATTGATTGAATAATGTCAAACCTAATAGGCAGGTTTGGCTTGTGTTCACGCATAATCATATGTTGAAGATAAAATGCAATTTCAAATATTCTGAAGTGGAATATTTCTTCCTGGAAAATCAATAACCATAAGTGTAACCCACTTCTTTCCATCAGCCTCAGTCCTATATTGTCTTGCTGTTGAATAGGGGAGGAAGGACAGGCTAATCTCTGAACTGGTAACTCAACTTGGAATTTGTCATGGAAGTCAAGTAACAGGATAAGATGAGCTGGCATGCTTTCAGAAGCCTGAGCATGCTAGTTCAGGTGCATATTGGTTACAAGCAAATGACTTACCAATTACAGGCGCAAACTGAAATCTTGCACTATAGGAAGGGAAGTCCAATAGACATGGCATGGGTGTTGTGAGACAACATCTCCCTTCCCAACTGAGCCAGGATTTTCTACAAGCAGAATTAGGTCTTTAGTTATCTCTGGAGAAACTATCTGAAGCGTGCTGTTTAGTACCTCAGACCTGTTTGAATTCTTCTTCTAAGGTTATAAGGGGTTTGGTATTGTATGTCTGTTTACCAGACAGTTGTACGGTGGGATTTGATGACATGCTTATAAAATACCCTACTGTAAAAATCTCTCAGAGGAAGTGTCAATCTAATAAAGTCAAGTCCCTGCTTGAGATGGCCGGCAGTAGGAAGGGCCATCTGTTAAGATCTTGTTAAATAAGGCAGAAAATGATGTAAAAAATCTTTTGGTTCTAGGCTGGAGAAAACATCTTGCTTGAATTTGGAAATGCAACATTCATTCTCTTGAAAGTTCAAAATTTAACAAGGTCATGAATCTGTAAACAGTATTTTAGTATGAGATAAATATATAATAGAAAAACGAGATAAATATATAATCATGTCTATTTGAACCCGCCTTGAGGTATGAAAGAACTAGAAACCATAACTACATACTTTGTCATCTAGTACTGATGTCTCAGAGATTTTGCCTAACTGATCTATTTTTTTGTTTGGCGTTTGAAAAAGAGAAAGCAAATATTATAGCAAGCATTTAAAACACATCTTCCTCAGAAAACTCAGGAGTTGTCTGTGTTCCTGGGCATGCGATGGTGAAAAAGGCACTACTACTGGAAAATTTTATATGTTCTCTATATAGTTGGTAAGAAAAAGGTTTTGACTCCAGCACCATTTCATCAGAGTACTTTTTCTGTGCTCTCAAGAGTATTCCAACTGTTGTAAAGATCATTAGATTGTTATGCTTCTATCAAAAAGAGCCAATTAAAAAAAAAAATCATTATAAAAAAGGTAGATGGCCAGATTCTATTCTGCTGTAGGGCAAAATCTAGCCTTAGACGACATTTGAAGTACAGACCTACTAGTTTGGAACATAAGCCATAGCAAACTATAAAAATAAAAAAATAAAAATGAAGGAATGTTGTAGAGCAGTAAAATTGAAGAGGAGCCAACAAAAAGGATGCACAGGCCAGGAGGAAGAAAATGAAGGACAATCCAGAAGACAAAATAGTAAATAAAAGCTGTATTTACTCTGTGTAAGCCTTATACTGCTAGTTAGAAATGCTTATTGTGTAACATGCTTCCAAAGCTGAAATTTATACCCTGCATCCTTCTGAAATAGCATTAAAACACATTTGCAGTCAGAATAATGTAACAAAACAGATGGCCAATGGACTAAAATGTTATTTTATGCTATTATTTGTGGAACCTAGGTCAGTAAATTATACATATTTTCAACAATGCAAATGATTCTTTTTACTGCTTAAAAATAGACTAAGTATCTAAATTAAATTCTAAGCTACTTCATGCAGTAATTATTTACAGCCCAATCCAATTGTTTAAGGCTAGCTGGTATAAAGCCAGCCCCTCATCTTGTGTATTTGGCCATCTGTTCTGTCTTTCAGTAGCTATAATTCATCGGTACCTATGTGATTTGGGACCTGAAAGTTTTCTTATGTGGCAGTTACTGCCCTCCAACTCTGAGACAGAACCAATGTCTTTCCCTTTAGAGTTCAGAAATTACCGAAAATAAAATATAAACTTAGTGATCAATGAGTCATCAACTATGTATCATGCAGAAACAGAAGTGAATGAACGTATCTTGTCATATTTTTTTTTTTTTTTTTAAATGTGTGCTAGGGTTCAATCTAAACTGCAGTACAGCAATACTGTGCCAGCCTAAGCGGTCACACCGTTAGGTACAGTCCCACACAGAACTGCCACAGGGCACTCACAGATTTGACGATCGCTATCGATGTGCAGCCCAGTGCCAGTGTCCACTGCTCACTGCATCTGACTGCTGGAATCCAAATGCCTCTCTGTCCTGCAGGCCACTGTCGTGGGGATGGCGGCACTTCCAACCGTCAGTCCCGGGGTGGTTGTGCTGTATTTTGTGTGTTTTCTTCTTTCATTCTTTCTTTCCCTTGGTACTCTTTCCCTTGAATGGGTAATAGCTTGTTTGGAAAGTAGCCAGACCTGAAATGCTCTTACAGTTTTGTTTTTTAAAAGGAGAAATACAGAGAGGTGAGGAGAGGGCCTTAGGCAGGTGACAACGAACGCTGACACACTTCACTGCCACTATCAAGCTCTTGATTTTCAGTTCAGAAGTTCAAGTAAAATATCTTCATTCTGTGTTCATTGAACACGTTTGAATGAGATCAACAGCCAGCAGACTGAACACGAGGGCATTTAAGCCTGTCAGGAGGAAGGGCTGAAAAAGAGCTGAATCAGAAATTCCCTCTCACTTTGAGATGTTGGTGCTTCTGAGGGAACCGCGTGGTGAGTCTCTACTTGGGTAATTAGAGCCCAAAGCAACTTCCTTGACCTGCAGATTCCAAACCTGTAGAGTAGGGCACCGGTATCTCCCGTTTACTGGGCGAAATTTGAAGTTGTATGAACTTTGCGGTATTGATAAATAGGTACTGTCATCGTATGTTTTTGTAAATCTGCCTTTGGAAAACAGATTTGTTTTGCTTAGCAGTGAAGTCAGAGCAAATGACAAAATAATTTGTGGGTGACCAAAAACTCTATTTTCTCTCACCAAAATTACTTTTTTTTTATTTTAAAAAAAGCTGTACCTCAACAACTTTAGACACTTAAATAAATACAGAAATCTGGTCTGTAGTTTTTATATTTCTCATTTATTTATTCTGGTTTGTGTTCACTTCGTTAATCTATTTGTCTGCATTACCTCCAGCTGATCCAGTAGTTTCTGATACAAAGCATAGAACAGTTTATTTCATTAAGGGTTATTATTATTTTTAGAGCTAACTGCTGCAAAGCAGATGTTCGTGCCAGAAGGACTATGGAATTTCTTTGCCCAGACTAAATTCGTCTGCAGTGGTGATTTAAACAGTGTTTCTCGTGGATATTTTAAGCTGTTAAGACATGGTGCTAAGTCGCAGCAGTCCCTCACTGTTCAAAACATATTTGGTTCTGTACGTTGTCAGCCAGGGTATTTTTGTCTTCAGTTTTGTCCGAAGTATAAAAAAGCATGGTTTTCTCGTTGGAGTTTTGCTTTCTTGCTATGTAGACTGAAGCAAAATTGCTCCCCATCCAGGAGGGTAATGACAATAATTAAAAATTCAGTCGCTCTGAAGTGACAGGGAATCAGTATGAAACAGACTGAAGATTTCGGGGAGTCAGTTTCTTTCTCTTGTTTGGTGTTGTGATAATTGTACAATATGAGTTTTTCTGGTTTTACAGTTAGCACATCTCAAGACTTCCAAATTCATCAATAGTAATTAAAGTTTCAGATCAGGATATGCATGAGTAACAGAGGTGAGTGGCCAGGGTTTTCACAGAAGTTACTTCAAAATCTAAGCTGTATTTTTAAAAGTTGCCAGGCATTAGGTCTCTTGGAAATGATTTACTGGCTTTGAACAGATGCTGTGCTGTGTGTCTGCTCCTGATTGTGCAGGCAACCTGAAATGCTACAAAGTTGAGACCTTTCCTTTCCTTTCCTTTTTGTAATGTATATGCATACATGCACATGTACATATACATACAAATAAATGAATAAATATATCAAGCAACCAGCCTATAATTTATGTGGAATCAAATCCTACTTCTCAGATTTATTCGTTGGTCTCTGAGGAGTCCCATACCAATGGCTTTGTAGATAATACGTTTTGAAAGCATAATGTGTTCTGAAAGCATAACCTTTTCTCTCCTCTCCTTGGTATAGTTCAGTCAGAAGCTGCATCACTGCATACTTCCCTGCATTCCCTGGATGCTCAGAGTCCAAGACAGACTATAGTAACAGATACTGGCAAAGGAAGAACTTCCAGAGTCCTATATGACCAGTAGGAATCAGAACTGAGGAAAGGAGCCAAGTGATTTCCACTGTCACCTTCACTGTTGTTGAACTGCCCATATCTCTCCAGTTCTGCATGTTGTAGAAAATCTGTGGAAAGTGTGTTTTAATGGAACAAGAGAACAGATACTTTGTTGGGGAGAACTGGCTTTTTGTGCGATGAACTAATCTTATCTATGCACAATAATGGTAGGAGTTACAGTGGCAACCTTTGATCTGAACCTTAATTTTATCCTCTTCAAGCCAGCCGTTGGAAACAAACTGCATACTTAAAGGTGGAAAAGTATAAGGGATGAAACAGCTATCCATTGACTTTCTGGATTCATTGCTTCTGATAATATGTTCAAAGCTACAAGACTAACAAAAATATAAACAAAATGTTTCAGAGAAGTTCCATGTAGGAGATCACCTTAGATATGGTGTTTTTCAACTGAAAGTTGGAAAGAAGTTTGGTTTGTTGTTTCTGCTTTTCATTTTAAAATTGTCGTCATTAACATCTCAAAATCCCTGAATCCTAACAAGCTGTTGTTTCCTTTCTCTACATTCCCCTAGGCAATGGATTTAGATATTCCAGTGCTGGCAAGGAACATTCCTGGGAATGCAGCAATAATAAAACATAAGGAAACTGGACTGCTATTTTCAGATCCCCAGGTAAGAAAACAAATCCTTAGACCTGTCCCTTCCAAAATTTAGGTTCATTTTCCATTACATGCTTATGTCTGTTTGGAAACTTGGCTTTTACGCTCAGCAGTTTACTCAGATTCTCCTAAACCTCTAGGTGTTAGACTGCCTTTCTTGAAGCTCTGCTGTTGTCTCACATTCACTTTGCAGTTCACTAAACTTTTACTAGGTGTCAGCCTTGCTGAATGTTTGTCAAGCTTGTGCTGCTTAGAGCCTGCCATCCGAATGGGGCTCTGTTCTCATCAGCTTGTTGCACTTTTAGTTTTGAAGGTTCCATAACCAAACCCTGGAAGAGATGCTCTGCATATGTCGTATGTCCCTTCAGGTGCTAACTGAAATATGAACTCGTATTAGACAAGCAATAGCTAACTGAAAGAGAACTACGAGCCTGAAGTTTTAGATAATACTTTATCTATAATTTCTAGCAGTAAGTGTTAATATAAAGAACTATTATGTCCAAGATATTGCTTGGTCAGAGAATAATTAATGACTAAAATTAACCAAACTGTTAGAATGGAGTTTCTGTGAAGATAAGCAAGAGTGGGGAGAGAGGGAACAGTACCCATATTTAAATGCTGGAAATTTTCATTTCAGTATATTTTCCTGCATTATGGCTTTGTTGTTACATATTTGTATATATTGTGGGAGATGACTTCCAGACATAGATTACCTTAGAGTTTTTATCCAACTCAAAATTAAAAAAACCTTACTAGAATAGTCCACTTGATAATTTTGCAAAGTAAAAAATGTATCATATTTATTCACTTTGTGGAGTGTGTGATTAATGCATCCTATTGAGTTGTGTTCCAGGAAGGCAAGTTCTCTGTTCGTTTTGAAAGCTTTTTAAATAGAAAAATTCTTGCAGCTCATGGTTTGGGGGGTTGTGGGGGCTTTTTCTGGAATATTCAATGTTTCCAATAGTTTCTACAACAAAAATTCTTTGTTAACTTCTGGAATTTATTTTGTTGATGAAGTCTTCCCTCTTGCAATATCCCTTGGAAATGGGGTACTTCCAGGCACTAGGCTGAGATGTAAAGCTGTTTGTAAAATTATTTGTACATGTATCCCTGCAAAAAGCTTTTGACTTCCATATGCTTCTTCAAATCTTCAAGGATATGTGATCATGTTGAACACTCAGACTGATGGCTCTCCTTATATTAATTCTGATACATTCTGTTTCCCTCAACATGCAGGTTATATTTGGCTTGGAATTCGAATACATTATCCATACCAGACCCAATTAGCTACTTCATACATCCTTGTAAGGAGCCTCTTCTATGATCTCCAAGCATCCTGTGTTCCAAGTGTTTATTTGGAATTCAAGATCAATTAAAAATATGCTATATATGTCCTCACTTAAAGGATAGTGCGATTTTAAGAACAAAAGTATTCCCAGTGACATCAGTGACTCTGTACAAATGTCTAAGGACTTTCATATCAGAACTAGAGTCACAGGCTGTAAATATGTCTAAAACGCTATAACCTTAGTTTATATAAACCCCTTCTGTCTGAGCTCTGTTCTCTGCAACTTGCTGTGCCAAAGATCAGAACCCCCCCGATTCTGCTGCTTGTTGACCCCTTTTTGCTGTTGTTCTATCTCTGTAGTATGCAGAATCTCTTTTAAGTGAAGATGGTAACTTGCATTCCATATTAGCTGTCATACTCCTAGGTAATATTTGTGCTGGAATCACTAATGTTTGTGTAGTTAGCCTATCTTAGAAAGGAAAGTAATATCCCTGCAAAACAGCAATTGTATCTCATTTAGTAAAAGCCCTTTCATACTTCCATTGGTGTCAAATAACGTATAAACTATCAAAGTTTGCAAATGGGTCAGGAAAATACTTATTTGCAGGCTAACGGTCTAATCCCACTGCAGAGTTGTTGAAAAACTTTTTCTTGCAGAGATGAGCTCAGAATGCCAATCATCATCACTCATGGTTTTAAAGATAAAGTAACCATTTACTCTTGTTTCTTATCTCCCCAAACCATATCAAATACAGTTTTTAAAAGACTTACACAGTCTGTCAGAGGTTGAGAGTTATATTAGATCAAAGAAATGCTTTTAGGTTAGAACACTTAACCATTTCAAGGTATTCCTCATATTCTTATGATTGGAAGAAGGAATAGTCTGCCTGTGGCATTCTGCATACAGCTTTAGAAGATTCAGTCTGACAATAGGGATGGGAAAACATATATTCTGGTAAGAAGTTTTCTGGGTTTTTGTTACTCTGGTTACTTTGACATCTCAAGTATCTGGTAAACTTTTCTGCTGTACCCTCAATTGCAGCAGGTTAGTTAGGGGAAATGCTTTTAGCCATACAGAGAGATCAGTATTGTATTCAGGTGCTTGAGGAAGTCTGTCTGTGTCTTGAAGAATCTGGCCCACCAGAGATTTTTAAGAAAACGTCTTAAGAAATTTTCATTGCTAAGTTTAGTGGATCCTATCTGGTTGTGATGATACAGACTGTATCATAGGTTAAGAGTAGAAAGCATTGCTTATTTTCAAGTTGTTACTGATCTGGGGAGGGAAAACTTTACAGCATGGTTAGCTTAGATATGAGCAACTGTGTCTGAGGACAATCCTATCTTTTGAAAGCTAAATTAGAGGGGTATAAGTTGACCATTACACAATGAGAATAGTTTTAAATTGTGAATGCTGTTGGCTTTCTTCTTTTGTTCTTGCTGAAAGTGAGCTTTTGTGGTTTACAGAAAAGTAGGAAATTTTGTGCGTAATTGTAGACATCGTTAACCATTTGTACATAGGCTGAGGCATCATGACTGGAAATGGCGAAAGCCTTGCCATTCACTGAAGACATTACTCAGATGGAAACCGTTAATGGAAAAGTGAAAGCTATGAAACGTTTTGTCCTTGATACTACATCTTCTGTGCACATTACTTTAAAATGATGGTTTGATCCTTCTATACTTGAATTTACAAGTTTATGGAATATTTTATACTGAATTAATGGGACCTGAAATAAAAAAATAAGTGAGAGATAAGAATAGCCAGCAGCTTTTGGACAATGAATAGTGCAAAACCATATTAAAATGGAAGACACAAAGAGTTATTCAGTATCCTAAATTTCAAAATTCTATGTTCAGCATCTGTAAAAGTTCACAGAAGGAGCTAAATAAACAGAAGGAGGTAAATAAACTTCAAAGCCAATAAAAGAGGGGCCAAGCATAAACAGAGTTTGAGAGAGAGAGGGACCTGGAAAGACTACTGTTAGCAGAGACGACTTTTGAAGTGGTAAGAGGGAAACGCAGCTCAGCTGAGTACAGGCAGCAATACATTTTAAGGTCATTGGTCTCCTCTGCCACACATGGGTCAATGCCATTTCTACCAGGGCTTCAAGCCAGAATAGAGCCGAACTTTTTAGACCGTTGAACCTTCACACTGAATAGACTAATTTGCAATTTTTGGCAGTGCCAGCAATCACTGTTTATACTCCCCTAGAAATACTGGCCCATTGCCCTGTGAAGTACGCAGATGTGCCAGCTAACTTCTGAGCTTTGCCTGCCACTAGGTAGATCTGTCGCTATTCTGAATTTACATCTGGCGTTTGCCTTCCCTGGGGTGATTCTCTGTTGTTTAAGAATCGTGTCCTTTTATCTGGTGAAGCTGATATGAAATGGTTTAATTGCAGACTGACTTTCATTATATAAATAATATATTAACTATGCACCTTATTTTCATTATCCGTGAGCTGCAGCACCGGTGTAGTTCTTGTGGTAATTGAAAGAATATTCATTCTTTTTACTCAGTGCACTCATTTTCTAGCTTTATCTCCTAGCTACCTGTATTTCTGTGTCTCTGCAAAATATTATACAGAATTTCTTTTAGGTACTATATAGAGAAGATGACATTTTCTTTAAAGATGATTGGTCAATTTACCAGGAGAAAAATGTATTATGGATGTTGCTGTTGAAAAATGGCTGTTTGAAGTGAAGTACTACCTGTAAAAAGGACACGTGTAATATCAGTTCTGGATGTACATAAGATGATCTTCTCCCTGGTTTTTTTTGGTTGTGGCTAATTACTGAGGTTCAACTTCTACACGTAAAAAGGACACGTGTAATATCAGTTCGGGATGTACATAAGATGATCTCCCTGTTTTTTTTGGGTTGTGGCTAATTACTGAGGTTCAACTTCTACACTATGTTTTTTCTGTCATGTATACAGTAATTATACCCATTTCTGTATCTGAACAAAAAGCTTCTTAGAAACACAGATGTCCCCCAAGTAGTAAGTTAGCATGCATCTCACCACCTTCGTCTTGGCTGCTGAAGTGCATACCCTTATGTTTGATAATTGAAAAGTAATTTATTAATTTTGCCCCTCTTTCACCAAAAGTGACGCTTCCTTCGCATCTTCAACAAAATATGAGAGTAAACCAATATTTGTGGAAATACCACTTGCACAAATACTTTACAGCATAACAGCTGATAAAGAGACACGTTATCACACTATAAGTAGTTTGTATATCGTGGGCTTCTAGAAAAGAAAAATTAAACGCTCAGTTCTCAGAAAGCACTCCGAGTTCTGAATGTCTGCATGCTGCACGTGGGAGCCCATGCTTCAGCCTTACCACAAAACTACAACTGAAATACAAGTCAGTTGGAGTTAAGGGAGGCACCTGAAAAATTAAGTTATTGCTATCTAAAGCTGCGCGTCCAAAACTGAAAACAAGCTAAGCCAGCTGCTTGAAGAGCGTGAGGCAAAACCCAGATAAGTCATAGTGAATCTTCCCATTGGCTTCCAGTCAGATTGCAAGTGACTTGTAGGTGGTCACATTTGATTAGTAGAAGTAGGGATAAAGCTGAGAAGTCCTTATTCTCCGTCTTCTGGTATTTTTCCATTTGCTATTTCTCCTTCCTGCAGTTTCTCAACTTTTATGCTTTGGACTCAGTTTGGCATTTTCTTGAAATTATCCCCAGCATTAGGTATTGTAACTGTGAATAAGGATCTCATTTCTTCTATCATTTACATGTTTCCAAGTTTTTGTCCTCTATATCCACATTTTAAAAGAATGCTAATAGGACTGCCTGTCAAGAAATGTTACATTGGTGCTTCTGTTCTTAGGTAATTTACATAAATTATTTTTAAACATTACTTTAAATAAAATCCTCCACAGGAGCATAAAATTAAAGTTGGAATGTAGTTCAGTGTGAACAGTACTTATTACTGTGATTATACAGGCAATTGGATGAAGCCAGCATAAGTCATGTAAGACTTTCCCACCTTCCCTGTTCTGTATTCTTGGCAGATACGGAGGAAGGAAAAGAACATGTCTCTGAAGTTGGGAGTCCTTGCCTGTATCTGCAGTGTCTGATAGGCACAGCCTCAGGGTACTCTCCAGACCAGACTCACCTATTTTCTTTAGGGACAGTCCCACAAGCAGTCAGCAAACACCCTCTTCAGACCACATGGGTCCCAAGGAAGGAACTGAATGCACTAGATGAATTAGCACATACCTGAGTGCAAGGTAGTTGGGGATGGAAAGCTGGCTGGATGCGAAGCGTGTGGCCCTCGTGGCTCTTCCAGAGGCCGTTCTTGCAGTGCTGTGTGGACAGAGTACAGATTACAAGCAGTACTGATTGTATGTAAAGTAAGATTTTTTTTTTTAAAATGAAGATTATTCGTTAATGTGCATGTATGAAAACACCTTATTCTATTACCTAGTTACAAACCTTTCCAACAGAACTGATGTGCATCTCTGACTATTTAAATTTCATGGCAGTGATGCATATATTGATAGTTTGTCTTGTCAGTGAGAGTCAAAGCAGTGATTATAATGTGTTCAATGTGATTTCACATATCAGCGTTTCCCAGGGGTCACGTTATAGTTATGTTTTATGCATAGCCATCACTTGCATTACAACAGCAACATTGATTCTGTGGTAACCAAAGATCTGATATCTCTGTATGTATTTATATATACTGCGTACTTAGGTTTTCAAGTGTAGCTTGCTAGTTAACCTAGTGTTGATATGAACTCTGGTCTTATTTGTGATATTTTCTTTCATAGCTGACACACTGTGTAAATAATACATCTCCTTCTGCCATCCTTTTTGTCCCTCATGTCCCTATGCACTGATCTTCACTACCAATTGTGTAGTAATGTATTATCTTAATTTCCCATTGACACAATAGCTATGCACTTTTCTGAGCCGAACCGAGACACTATTTTGCAAAGATCTGAGTACATTTGTAATCAAGCTGAAGTATTGGAAGTTGTCTCTTGATAGAGAATTAGACCAGCTGCTCAGAATAGATTAGTTCAGACATCAAATCTCCTTTCACGTGTTTGAAGTTCACAATTTCTCTTCCCTAGAACTAAATTAAATGGCAGAGGAGCAGGCAAAGGAATAGTTGTATAATCTGCAAGGTCTAGTATTTTGCCCAGTAAAGTTAGAGGAAATTCATATATGGCTTTTTTGCAGAGCTTGTTGAGCTAACGCTGCTGTATCTGTAACTGCCCAGATGCAACTACTCC